GTCTTTGGAAGATATTTTCATTTTGGGCCAGTTGTGCAGTTTTTACTTTTTGGAGGGGCTATTGTGTAATTAATGAAAGTTATTGCAAAAATGCCTTAATTTCAGACTCGATCCTCGTACGGGATTTATTTTCACTTTTTTTTGAGTCGTGTACTCTTAGAATTTCCTTCTGGTCATTTTTCTCCAGTTTCAGGGTTACTAGCCCTAGTTGCCGCCAAACTTGTTTGGGGCATATCTTTCTGCTCAGGACTCAGTTTTCGATGTCGTTTCTTCCATTGTTCATCTTTTCTCATTTTAATTCTTTTTCATTCATGGAGTTTCACCATTTGAGCGCGTCTACTCAAATTCTACTTTTCCGGACCTGGCGGGACCCATTCGAGGCACTTTTAGGGTTTTTCTATAAATAGGGGTCTCTAAAGTGAAAAGTCAAATTTTTCTCATCTCTTTCCCCTCTTGGCCAGTAGCCATGGAAGGCCATGGGGCTGCCACCTTCTCTCTCCTCTTTTGGACTTCTTCCCTTTGTTAAAAAGTGGTGATGCCTCTCGTAAAGGTTTTGTGGCGACATCACGATGTTAAGGAGGCTACGTGGGAATGGGAACAGGATGTTCATTCTGCGTATCCAAGTTTGGTTTCTTCCCCAGGTATGACTTGATTTCGGGGATGAAATCCTTGTATGTTGGGGAGACTGTGAGGACTTGCATTTTTGCATTTTTATTTTATTGTCGAAAATTATGATTTAAGTTGCAAATGTATTTAATTTAATTAAATGTTATTCGTTTATTTCATAAAGGGCATTATGGACTTTTTGTTTTACAAATGGCATATATGGTATTTGATTATTTTATAAAGGGCAAAGTTGACTTTTATTATTTGAAATGGCATATTTGGCATTTGGTCATTTCATGGGGGTAGTGTGCACTTTTAGTATGCAAATGGCATACTTGGTAATTGGTAAATGTGTGAAGGGTCTTTTAGTCATTTCATGGGGGCATGCTTTGGCTATGTGCATGCTTAACATGTGTGGGTGTATATGGCTGCATCATATGTGGGTTAGTGGCTTAAATCTTATATGGTCTTGTAATTGAAAGATATATACAAAATATTTTTGTAGACATTTTCGTAGCTTTTGTTCTTCCATAGTCATCTTCTTCATGTTGCATTTTGAGGCCCTTGTGTTAAGAATTTGCTGTGACCTTGTGAATGAAAAGTGACCTTGAGATTATGGACTTCCTTTTTGGTGTCGAAGTTGTGTGTATTTTCCAATTGTGGGGTTGTCAAAATCTGATTTGAAAAGGGAAGGGTTGGTTGAATTTTATGAGGTGTTCTTCATCTTTTGCAAATTTGGTAGCTTACTTTTGATTGCTTTAAATTGTTGGTAGCTGGGATTTCAAGCTTCATTGAGCTAGGATTGTCTAACCCTCAATTCCTTTGCCTTTAGTGAGTTAATCTCTCTCAATTTTTGAGTTGCAAAGTGTATGCAAACAAAACTGAAATTTTGTGCTGCTGAAACTGTTAGGCTGAATTACATACAACTGTTTTGCTCAAATTGATGTAAATTCGTAATTGATCTTTTAGGGATGATTTGATATTATGATAATATAGTTAATTAGCTTTCATTGAGAATTGATTTCACTTAAATTGGTTGAGAAATGAATTTATTATGAATTTTTAAAGTTAGAGTGTTCTTGCTGGAAATTCTGGGTTGGGACAGATTTTGTCCGAGTTTTTCTCATCAAACCTGCCTTAAATGGTAAAGGATTTTGCTGAAGTAAGATTTTATATTGAGAATATAGTCTTTAAAATTTCAATGGGCTTTGGATTCACTCAATTTGGATGAGAATTGAATTTTTTATGATTTTTCAAAGCTGGAAGCTACAGGCTGGAATTCAGTTTTCTGGGCAGGATTTATTTCGAAATTTTGGGTCAAAACTGTTCCAATTGGGAAGGGATTTTGTTAAAATAAATTGAGACTTTCAAATTACATTGTTTAAGCTTTCATTAGGTTTTGGAATCACTCAATTTGACTTAGAATTGAATTTGTTATGATTTTTCAAAGATGGAAGCTACAGGCTGGAAATCAGTTTCTGGGCAGGATTTATTTTGAACTTTTGGGTCAAAACTGTTCTAATTGGGAGGGGATGTTGTTAAACTAAATTGACACTCTCAAAGTACATAGTTTAAGCTTTCATTAGGCTTTGGAATCACTCAATTTGACTTAGAATTGAATTTGTTATGAATTTTCAAAGATGGAAGTAACATGCTGCATGTGAACTGTTTACTGTTTAGAAACTTCGGAACATGACACAATTGTGCATTCATCTTGCATGGTCATAGGGTTCAGGTTAGAATGGAAAAAGGAAGTGAAAGTTTAGTAAATGATTTTGAAAACCGGATAATAGGGAAGTGCCTTGTATCCGTGAGTTTAGAAAGTGGGATTGAATCAACAATTTTAAAAACCGGACAAAGGAGTTGCCTTATGTCTGTGCAGTTAATGGGAATCTAGAGAAGACGTGGGAGTTTCCTACGCGTAATTGTGTCACTAGGCTCCAAATGGTTACAAGGAGTTGCCTTGGATCAGGGATAGATGATCAATCCTCTTCTCGTGGTACAGGGAACAGCTCTAGTCGGATTACATTAACTTTTTGTGATGGAAATTGGATTTTGGGAAGTGAGAAGTGTCAGTGGCATTAGTATTAGCATCCGCATTGCATGTCACTTCATTTTATTGTCCTACATGACATTATTTCTTTCCCGAGTTTATATGATCCTATTATCCTTTATCTATTCTTTGTTTGGATTCACGAAGGTATTAAGGAGTGCACTTTAGGCAATTCCTGCTGAGCTGTGGTTGCTCATTCCTATATTATTCACATCTTTTCAGGTCATGGCACGGATGGTTTGGAGGGTGTTCCTCCTCAGCTGTAAACAGAGTCTGGGCTGGTGTTGTTGCGTTATATTTCGCATAACAGTCTATGTTTTGTATTATATTTCTTTAGAATATTTCTGGCATGTAATAAAAGTTATTTCGGACTTTAAAACTTTAATGTTGTAATATTTGCATCTTATCTATAAATTTCAGTCTTATTTTTGTAAAGGGAAATAAATAGGTGGATGTGTGGTTGAGACAAGTTACAGGGATAGTTTTTTTTTATTTTGAGACTGTGATTATTTGTGTGTTGTGTTCACAATCCGGACTACGGTCTAGGGGTGTGACGTGTAGACATTTGTTGTGTGAGCCTGCTATTCAAATCACAAAAGACCTTACCCAATTAGCCATAGCGTTGTCCAAGGGGAAAACCATGGCTCTAGCTCCATTCCTCTTGGCTTCATTGTATAGGGGTCTTTCAGATCTCATCACTTCCAATTTTTCTAGATCAGGAGGACCATTCTGGCTCTATCAATTCTGGTTGCATACATATATTTCCTAAAGTAGCTCCCAATATACAATTTGCTACAAATGATCCTTTATTATCATTTAGCTATGCGAAAGTGAAGCCTAAGAACCATTCTTTTTCGGATTGTTTTTAGTTTTTCTATCACCAATGTAAAATTAGGACCCAATCTCAATTTCTTCCCTTTGCAAAGTGTCGGCTAGCCTCTTCTTGGCTATTTTCTCCCACTACTGATTCCTCAACAGAGCAAATAGAATTGTATAATACTTCATGGGGCCATTTCTTGATTGCGAGGGTTATCTCTTGTAATACTTTTGCTCCCAATATCACCAAGAGTCAATCTGGGGTGGAATTATATAACCCCTCTTAATTAGCATGATTGTTTGGGTTGACCAAACTGATTCCAGTGCCTCCTCATTTTTCATATAACAAGAACTACCATCGATAAGTAAAACTTACAAATAATGAGCAAATTAGATATGTAGTCAACAAATTTACTCAGCTCTTACAAGAGTTCCAATACAAGACCTTTCATGAAGAACTAACCCGAGCTTTGAAGATTGGTGGTCTTCATATAATAACTCCACCAAGACAAAGGACTCCAACCAACTTGTGTGAATTCTTCTGGTTCGTACAAATTTATTTCTCTCACATTTCAAGGAGGAGATCTAATTACACATGTCCTTCTCACTTCTACTCCTGCACCAGAGAGCATATTAGTCAAACCAACAAACCAAACTTCTCCCACAGGTCCTGTAGGTAGGATTAGATCTCACTCTCGGCAGAGTAAGTATTATGTCCTTTCTTTTGTGGCAGACTTGCATTTTGTATAGATTCCCTTCTAAACTAACACTACAAGAAAGAAAAAAAAAAAAAAAAAAAAAAAAAAAAGAAAAAGAAAAAGAAAAAGAAAAAGAAAAAGAAAAGGGCTTCTACGAGGGGCAAAAGCACCGTGAAGACTTATTCACGACGCATTGTAGGCCCTCGTGTATGAGGGTTCCATAAATACTTTTTTTTTTTTTTACGGGAAAAAATCTATCTCATAGAAAAATAATAGATTTGCCGTAAAAAATAATTTTATTTTTATATTAAATTTATTTACAACATGGATATTTTCCCGTTAATAATTAATCTATGAGGCACCGGTGCATGCTGTAGAAAAGTGTTCTACGGCGAATTGTAGCTACCTGTAAATAATCTCACGAAACACCGACGCTTGCCTTAGAAAACTTTTGTACAGCAAGTTGTTACTACCCGTAAATAATCTCACGAGGTACCGAAACATGCCGTAGAAAAGTTTTCTAAGGCGAATTTTAACTACTCGATTTTGGTTAGGGATATTTACCAACCGTACTAAAAGGAAAGAATTGCGTGTAGTTGTATGTAAACCTAGAGCAATAGCATAATGAACCAAAAAGGTCGGGATGCTGTAAAGTGGAAACTCGTTTTACGACAGTTATGTATACCGGAGAGTTTGAATCCTTTGGTGGCGTTCCTGGCTTTGGGGTAAGAGGTGGGACCTCCCCACAGCAAGAAAAAAGAAGCCGAAGGGCAAGGTCTGTTAATCAATCATCCATTACGTCTAATTCAGGTCACTTTCAGCTATAATTCAATTCAAAAAACATATCACATTAAACATATCAAAAGAGTTAAAATATTTTTACAATTCATCATTTATCAATGTGCCAAAACAATTCAACATTTATCAATGTTCCAAAACAGGAAGTAAATCCATTTGTCAAGAAAATCATCAATTTCCTAACACTTCTATTGAAAAATTGATAAACCTTCTAGCACTTGAGTTTCAGTCTGCACTTGTCAAAAAATCGCCTCACTGTACAAAATCCAAGGAAGTAGCTGCAAAATCCATGGTACAAAATCCAAAGAAGTAGCTGAAAAATCTACGGTAAAAAATCTAAGAAAATAGCTGCATCACACAAGTCTCAAATTCAGAATGCTAATAAAAAAGGGAAAGAACAAAATTATCATTTATAAATCAAACACAAACATTTTGCTAAGAATTTCTTCCTCAGATCTGTCAAAAATATTTCAAGCATATAATTTTCCTTAATTGAATACTAAATTTTTGCAAGAATGTATGAGAACAGACAATATCATAATCTCTTTATATTCATGAGATAAAGAGAATACATATTCTAGCCGACTCGAACCATAAATTTAGGATTGTATTACACTCAGTGATCAGGTGACCATGGCATTTTTGAATCACCTGACTAATTACTCAGTGTACAAGTTTTGTGTATTAATAATTTATTCTTTGTTTTCTTTTACTATAAATTACCCACAATGCAAATAATCAAGCTTCACCTAACTAGGTTGATAATGTTCTATGTAGTCTAAAAACACTAACCAGATGCAATTAACAAAAATGTATGTCTTAATAACACAATTAGCTTTGTAACAACTTCATTTTGACACAAAATATAGTGCTTCTTTCTTATTGAATCGTAATACATTTTCTACAATCTGTCTGCATTGATAAAATGACTGTCAATCTTCTCAAGTCCTGTGGGATAGTCTCTTCCCACTTTGTACTTTTGTTATTATTTATTGTTTTAATAATTTCATGACTACATTAGTTTCAACCCTCCAATACAGACATTTAGCAAGTGCTTGAAAAGAAAATTGGACATAATAATATCAAATCAGCAAAATTGCAGTACAAATAATAATATTAAAACCTTTAAGTTCTAATAACACCTTAAAATTCCAACTCAACAAAATATAAGGTGTTAACACCACAAAAAGTAATTAAACTTGCAACAGCTTCTCGTTTTAACACAAAATGTAGTGCTGCTGAATCGACAAAGTATATTCTTTGTTTTCTTTTACTATAAATTACCTACAATGCAAATAATCAACCTTCACCTAACTAGGTTGATAAAGGTCTATGTAGTCTAAAAACACTAACCAGACGAAAAAAAAAACCCTCAAGAAATCAAGTGCAGTAGAATGTGATTATGGGACCTGATTTAAGAAATGGATTTTGAGAACTTACATTTCTATATTGTTCTATAAGAAAGATGATATTCATAGTTATGATTCCAAATCACTGTTTTTGTGTGAGTTATTTTAATGTTTAATTATGTAACTACATTAACTCATTGATAATACAAGAACCTGCTTGTTGGTTGTTGAAACAGATGTTCTACAAGCAGGCAAAAAAGACCAACCAATACTGTACAATATTGTAAGATTTTAAAGCACAAAGACTACACTACCATGGCAATCACTTGTTCTAGTGTTAAATATGATGGTTCACACAAGATGGTGGTAGTTATTTATATCATTTATTTGTTGCTCGCTTGCCATAATTTATGGATTTTACCCTCTTGTATCTTTGCTATCGGATTGAAGAAATGGAAACCGACTGATACAGGCAATGTTTTCCTTGTTATAATACTAGTATACTTCCCTGTTCACAATGCTTAGACAAGGGCATGTTCTAGGAATGTTACCTTTATCTATTTGTTTTATTTGGCACTGCTTTATCCCCTCTGAGGTAGTAAAATTGACTTGGCTCTAAATTAAGATAGCCATATACTTACTGATTTGTTATCAAATAATTGATATGTTAAGACTTCAGTGATTCAGCTTGCATTACTATGTCAGTTCAGCGTATCGTATTACTTGATCTAGAAAACTTCTAATTAGAAGACCTTAGTTACCTGAAAAATACTGAGTAGTTTACTATAAAATTTGAGGGTTCATTACTTCAATTTGTTGTGTATTAAAAAAAGAGACATTAGACTTGCGAAGACAAATATGATAGTTACTATCTTAACCAAGATACAAAGGAAAGGACAATTCTATTTAATGTCTTTGCAATCTGTGTTTGTGTTGGCCAGACTAGCTGAACATACATCTCTATAGATAGATGTCAATAGATTAAATATGGTCACTCGAGAAATCTGAAGATAGAATTATAGACCATGGTCTCTGGTCAACCTGAACAAAATATATCTCCCATGCCATTGAATTTTTAGTTGGGAGAAACGACAAATTTCATTTGAAAAATTTATTGTAAATATAGATATGAATGCTCGCAGCTTAATGTCGACGGCTTATGTGAATTATGGGAAGAAGATGGATGGGAAAACCTGATACAAGGAGACCAAAGAACAAGGCCACAGAGACGGCCAAAGAGGTCCAACTTCAAGTTTTAAAATAACATAACAGGATTAAACATAGAATATCTTTCTTCTCAAAGACCATCTTAAATACAAACTCTCATCTTGTAAAACAATATCTATATACCACTTCTTTTTTCTTTCTTTTTTTAATTTATTTTATATATAGATAAACTATGGATTCAACACCAATATCAACATAACAAAAAGTTCATTATCCTCATCTATTGTTCAGCCCAATATCGAACCCAATTCACTAGCATTACTAGACCTAAGCAATCCTTCGTGCATAAAAATAATAAATCGGAAAGCAGCAAAAATGGTCACTTAAGGCACGTGACCCCCTATACACCATGATATGCAATGAATGAAAACCAAACTCCATCCGCAATAATTTCCCGACCTCCATTTATGCACAATAATAATAATATAATGGCCACTTAAGGCACGTGACCCCCAATACACCATAATATGCGATGAATGAAAATTAAACTCCATCCGCAATAATTTCCCGACCTCCATTTATGCATAATAATAACAAAAAAAATGGCCACTTAAGGCACGTGACCCCCTGAAACAATCAACTTTTTAAGCATATAATGCATTGCCATGGTGATAATAAAAATGAAGCAGCATAGTATTTGACCTTTGTTTTAGACTGGAATCATAGAAAGTCTGATTCTTCTGCTCCCTAATGAACTGGTGATAATCAATCATGTTAGAAAAAAATATTTAAAAAATGTAATGCCAAGAAATATATAAAAAATCAAATCATATGACTAATTTAAGAAATATAATAATAAGTTAATGAATGACTAATTGACCTGTATAATTTTCACATATTTCTTAGGCCATACAACCGAGCTTATGTTAACATCACGAAGATAAAAATTTCCATTTAAGCTTGCTCAATACAAAGGACAGTCTTCGACCAAGATATCATCAATCCATACTTTCCAATAATCTGGACCAATTGGAAAATGATCTTCTAATGCATTGGGATCCGTTGCTGCAATCTCAGCCTCGGCAACAACTACACCTGACCCATTCCAGTGTAACAACTCACATTTTAAACCTTGTAGATCTTCTATAATAGGACTTGGTATAGCATTAGACTAAGAACCAGTGCTAGCATTTTGGGACTACAATTAATAAAAACATGGATTAAAAAAAACTAGTATATTAAATTCAAATGCTATATAGGCAGAAAATAATACGTATATAACTTGTTGTAACACTTACCAACAAGGCTTTCATCTCATTCATTATTTCATTTTCATTTCATGTTTGATTTGTTCTACCCTTTCTTTAACTATTTCTTCTACTCTTTTTGCTTGCACCCTTTGAAAACCATTTGCCTCAATTTTGGAGATTGTTGCTCCAAAACCAAGGCCTCTAACTCGGCCTTTACGTTCCGGACCAAGTACATGAGTGACTCCATCATCTCGAAGAGAGCTTGTGCCTTTGGGTTGGGTTTTGGTGTACTCTTTCATTTGTTTCTGAAATTCCATATTTTAAACATGTTTGTTGTTATGCATTTAAGCATGTTTATAAATAGAATTTAAAAAATATAAGATAGGTAGGAAAGATATGTTACCACTGCTTCTTCTGTCACATCGTTCAAAGGTTTCCCACCCTTCCTCATGTGACCTTCGATCCATACATCAACTCTTGTTATAAAGTCAGGTGCATCACTTTTTTTTCTCTACACAAGAACAATATTTGTGTACAGATAATAAAACATGTTAATATTGTACAAGTTAGTAATAATATTTGTGTAAAATTTGCTAATAAAAAAATATCACCAAAAAGAAAACAAGCACGGAAAAAAAAAATAAAAAAGCTGCTACTAAACGTTTTGAAAATAACTCAGTACATATTTTCAGGTAGTAATTAGGGATCCTCCTTCAATTCAATATCCTATTTGATGATTGATTGATTAATTCCTGTTACCTTTAGCTTTATGCGTCAAAAAAAACCATAAAATTAAGAACATTGGCATATTATGTACGATAACTACATACCAGATATAAGCTTAGGCAATTTTATCTCTATCTCCAGTGGTAGATGTGTCTATTAATATGGTTCTCTCTTTTGTATTAACTTGTGAAATATAACAATATTGACTTCCTATCATGGACATAGGCCTTTATGGCCAAACCTTGCAAATATTGTGGGTTCTCTCTACTGTTTTTCTAGTTGTATAACTTATATTCCTCAAATTTCCACTAATAATGCACCATTAAGCTTCCAAAGCACATGATTAAATACCAAATATAGATACAAAATATGTTTGACACGTGTACAAAATCAAACAACGAGATCCTTCCATGGGAAGAAAGAAGAAAAGAAAGATGGAATAATTAGTTCTACTTACCATTTCGTCCTCTAGACGAGCATACCCCTTACGACTTGTTGTGTGAGGCATCTTTTGCTTCTTTCGCAATTCTTGACATTTTTCTCTCTTTCGTTATAAACAAATAATATAATTACTAATTTCTAAAGAAGAAAGTTATTAGAGAAAATAATTTGATCAATATTTTACTTACTTTGTAGTCATCAGAAAGTCGATTAGTCACAAACTGTTGCCACTCTTCGATTGATTGTACACTGTCAGGCTTTAATGAATCAATAGCCTCTGTATCTACATTTGACTTATATATATCGGTTGTAAGGCGTGTTCTATAATCACCCCAACTCTTTCCCATTCTTCTAAAAGCATCCTTTTTATGAAAATCAGGGACTTCAAATTTTTGCTACATTTAGTGTAAAAATCAAACCATAGTTTTTTGGAAATTTTCCTATCATTAATGGCTTAAGTCCAATTATAAATGATGGTGTGTGCTATTAAATTTGGTCATCACTTTTATTTCAATTATAATTCTAAAACTGAATCTTAGGACAAATACCTATAATGAAACAAATATATCACAAAAAAAAGAAAGAAAAGAACATACCTTTATAGATGTCCATATGAGTCGTTCTTTCTCAGCTGAAGCCTCTTTCCACTTTTTTGAGCTAATTAGAACATTCTCTCATGCTATTATTCCGATGCCAGTAGAAATTGTTTTACTATTCTCACCAATTGGTTGCCCTCTTTCATTGAATTCAATCGGAAGTGGTGACTCGTTATCGTTTACTACTGCATTTGCTAATATTGATGGACCTCTACCCTTACGATGACCCTTGTGAGTAGAGGGAGTTATTGAAGCATCATTTGCCGAGGTGCTTCCACTATCATGATCGATTGGAACCCCGCTAGAACCTCAAGATTGTCCACCTAACTGTGTATGGGGAGAGTTTGAATCTCAATCTGATATAGTAATTCCCTCATTTCCCGAAGTCCTTAATGCAGCCACAATACAATTCCTCTCTCTTAGTCCTCTTTTTGCGCCCACTTTAGAGGACTTTATATGAGAGCATATACAAGATAAGAAAATAAGAAAAACTATTAAAATTTAATACGAGGCAACAAAAATATAATTTCAAAACGATGTATTAATTACTTACTTCTGCGGGACCATGCATGCTGAAATTTATCTATCTTTTTCCCTCTTCAATTCTTACTCCTTTGCTCTTCTAATGAGAATGACCTATTTTTAAAAACAAAAAGTTCCAGAAAAAAAAAAAATAAACAAAGTATTTCAAGCCATAGATATTTCCAACATAACATTACATGTCATTTTTTCCCTGCATATCAGTGTATTGGTGATAAAACTCAGGGTCCAAATAATACAAGATGCATAAGAATGTTTAAATATAAAAAATACATATATGTTCTTGCAAATATAGATGATATTGAGGGTGCTCTACACCTTCAGATGGACCCACAAAACATGTGTACAAGTTATTTAAACAAAAGTAAAGCCTATATGGAGTAGTATTTAAAAGATAAAAAGAGTGAGTGAGGTGTAAAGTTACAAGAAGACATGTCATAAAGCGCTACAATAGAATGCAAAAAACCTGATTTATGAAACATAAGACAGTAAAAGGCTATTACATAAACAAAGTTCCAAAATAAAATGACTTCCAGAAAAATCTTGATACATCTACACGGTCATGCCCTCACAATCCAACCGTACATACTCTTCATTGCCATCATCATCATCATTTGAGTCCAATCTTGATACATCTAATGGCATAGAAGACATATAACTATTTTCTTCAAAAGACTCCAAGTCATTAAAACCTCTTGGCAGCACTTTAAGTACAACATACCAATTAGATGTTTCATCTTCCCTTGAATAAAAAACTTGCTTAGCCTGTGACGCAAGAATAACGGGATCACTTTTAAACTAACTTTGACCTTCATAGAGGTTAACTAATACAAATCCATCTTCAACTTTAATGCCATTTCAAATGTTTGCCCACTCACAATCAAAGATTGGCACTTTAAATGTGTGGTAATCTAACAGAAGTATATAAGATACTTTTCCTAGAACTTGATTTGTATCTCTTGCACTAGATTGACATATAGTTTCTGCTTCAAGCGAAACACCACTATCTTGTGTGCTTCTCTCCACATCCTTGGTGTGAAATCATTGTCCATTAACAATATATCCCGAATGTAAAATGACTTCTCTTCTAGGCCCATTTGCAAGACACATAAGTGTATCGGACACATCACTACCAGCTGCACTAATTTCATTTGCAAACCACAAACAAAAAGTCTCCATATGTTTCTTTTGTAATGCGCTTGCATTCCTTATGAGATGCCTGTCCATCTGCTTAAGCACCTCCAAATGTTTTCTGTGAGACAAACACTATAGGTAAGTTTTCATTGTTATTTCTATAACAAATTAATAAGTCCTGAAGATATCAGACTTACGGTTCCACCTCTGCATTATTGAACAAGACATAACGGTGAGCAATCTGTAACATGTCATTCGACATAATTTTCAAAATTCCCTTCGAAATTGGACGGCCATCTACTGTTGTCTCACCTTCAAAATCCTCATTTTGAGAATGTCTCATCCCTATTTTAGAAGCTTGTTTGATGTGCTCACTACAAAATTGCACACACTCATCAACCAAATAGCCTTCAGCTATGCATCCTTCAGGTCTCGCCCTATTTCTAACATATCCTTTATAAACCTTCATCATCCTAAAACACATAAAAAAAAAAAAATTATATATATGTTATAATATTAAATATCTAACTACATAAAAGAATGAAAAGTTGATATTAGTACCTCTCAAATGGGTACATCCAACGAAATTGTATTGGTCCACAAATACGAGCTTCACGTGCGATGTGAATAGTCAAGTGAATCATAGTGTCGAAAAAAGATGGAGGAAAAAATCTTTCTTACATACACAATGTCTTAGCAATTTCATTTTCCTATCTTTCCATTGAGTTCCTATCAATCACCCTTTGGCATACTTCATTAAAATATGCACATAGGCGAAAAATTGCATTCCTTACACCCTTTGGTAGAATTCCCCGTAACGCTACCGGTAGTAATTGTTGCATTAGGACATGATAATCATGAGATTTCAACCCTATAACCTTGCATTCATCCAATGAAATATGTATCCCAATATTTGAACTGTAGCCGTCTGGTAGCTTTAATTGTTGTAATCGGTTACAAAAAAGCTGATTTTCTTCCTTCTTTAGTGTATGAGGTGTTGGTGGTAAGAAATGTTTCCCTTTTGAACCTTGTGCATGCAAATCCCCCCTGATGCCCATTTCCTCCAAAAATCCATACGAGACTTGAGTCCATCCTTTGATTTTCCTTTTATGTTCAATAGGGTGCCAATAATACTCTCACAAACATTTTTCTCAATATGCATGACATCTAAGTTATGGCGAACGAGTAATACCTAAAACACAAATAATGGAATAATAGTTTTTTTAAAACATATGATAAACTTAAATAAATAATATTTTAATTTTTTTATATAAAAAAACAACTTTCTATTACAAATACTTACCTCCCAGTATGATAATTCAAAAAATATGGATTTTTTCTTCCACACCACAGTTTCCACCTTTTTTGCCTTTTCTTTCCTCTTTCCAATTTTTGGTTTGATATGTAATTTCCCCTTCCCTTTTTTACCCCAATCATTTTTAATATTTTTCACAGCATGAAGAATTTTAGTCCTAGACAATATTTTAGGCCTCCACCTATGTTCTTCACTCCCATCAAACCAACTCTTCTTTTTTCGAAATGGGTGAGTAGGAGATAACCATCGACGGTAACCTAAGTAAACAGTCTTGGTGCTACAATTCAACCTCCTAGAACATGTGTCATCACTACATGTTAGACAAGCTTTTTTTGTTACATGACTAGCGAGGTTACTAAAAGCTGGAAAGTCACTAATTGTCCACATCAAGATTACCTTCAAATTAAATATGGACTTTGCAAATGCATAATAAATTTCCACGCCTTTCTCCCATAGCTCTTTCAAATCATCTATAAGTGGCTCCAAATACACATCTATATCATTCCCCGGTTGCTTTGGCCCTCGGATTAGTAATGTCAACATCATATTTTCTTTAGATATGAGTTCAAGTGGTGAAAGATTATATACCACCAATGTTACTGGCGAACAACTATATGCCGAACTAAGGTCACCAAATGGATTAAACCCATCAGTTGAAAGGCCAAGTTTTAAATTTCGTGAATCAATGCAAAAAAAGGCCATTTTTTATCTATCGTATGCCATGCAGGCGTGTCAACCGGATGTCGCATCTTTCTATCCCCACTTCTATGAGTTGAATGCCACATTAGTTGTTTTGCTATTTCAGGGGATCGAAACATTCTTCTAAATCTTGGTACTATTGGAAAGTACCGCAACACCTTAGCTGGGACACCATTTTGAACCTTCTTAGCACGTTCATTCTCTTTCCACCGCGAAGCACCACATTTTGGGCATTTAGTCATGTGCTTATTCTCTTTTCTAAATAGATAACAGTCATTCTTACAAGCATCTATTTTCTCATATCCTAAATCAAATGTCTTCAAAAAAAAATTCGTTTCATAATAGCACTTAGGAAGTTTGTTATTTTCCGGAAGCATATCCCCAAACATTTGAAGAAGTCCATCAAAACCAGTGCTGGATAAATTATTTGTTGCTTTGTGCTTATATAAGGTAACAATTGCAGACATAATCGTGTACTTTGTGCATTCTGGAAATAAAAGGGTCTCAACATATTCCAACTCCTTTTTAAACTTAGCCTCTCTTATTTCATAATTTGAATCTGAAACATCATCATCAACAACATGAAAGAAAATATCTCTATACATCTAATACGTCTCTGGCATTTCAATGTCATTTACATCACTTCCATGTTGGGGAGATTCACTCAGATTTTCCCCGTGAAAGTACCAGATCGTGTATGATTGATCCATTCCATTTTCCAATAAATGCCTAAACACCATGTCGAAGTGTTGGTGCTTCGCATTTAGACAACAATTACAAGGGCATAAAATCTTTTCTGGATGACCCGCATTCGCTTGCCCCTGATCAGCAAACCTCCATGCTCCTTCTAAATACTTTGGATCAACTCTATAAAATTAAAGCTTTAACATTTAATTAAACATAAAATTAGTGTAGACAATATTAACTTTTATAAGCACACTCCACTACATATAATAACCTGTAAGTCATGTTCATCCATTCTTTATCCATCGCTATTTGCTTAATTATTTTGTTTAGTAACCTATCACAAAAGATTTAAAAAAAAAAAAAAATTGCCAAAATTTTAGGAAGAAGAATATATAACTACATTCATGATAATGTGAATAGAGGCAAAAAATGGTCTTTTCAAAGAGTAAGTTGGTAATGAAATAACTCTTCTCTCAGATTGTAGTACAAAAAATTGATATATAGTATAAATCTTATTAGTACTTAACTTTATTAGGTAGTCTATATATGCATTTTGTATTGAAAAGGCAGAAAAGGGTCTTTGCTATGTTTGATCATTCCTAGTAAAAGATATCAAAAATCTGGAGTTCAGCAACAATCCCTTATTATTATTAAAGCTTCTCAAATTGCAAGGCAGATTTTTTGAATGTGTCATATTCTCTTGGTGTTCGTTGCAAGACCTGCCGCAAATGTCTAGTCTTTGAACATTGGCTTGCTAATGATCATCTACTTGGTTTAAATGGGAGGGGCTGTTGTGTTTTTCTTCAGCATTTCTATGTGGTTTCGCCTTTCATTTATTATTTCAGCCTATCTTGTCTTTTAACACATTAATAGGCCATGTCTTATTGACGACCAATAATACTTCAAGCTTGCATTCAAGCTAGGAAATACTCTAGTCCATATAATTCTATGAAAGAAAATTTTAAATCCTTTTCATGGTCATTGGCCAACTGCAAACATAATTAAAAGACAAGGGCTATAATGATAGAGGAAAAGGAGGAACCAAAAGCAAATCCAGGAAGATAACTTAATTTCTTTTAGTAACAATGATATATATCTCTTGGATGATCCATTCAGTGCTGATGATACACACCACAACCAGTTTATTTAATGTAACTACAATCCTCATCTCACCAATTTATACTACAACCACATTTGTTTTTAAGTTGAAAGCTAATTAATACATGTTATGGTCAGGAATATGTCATGGGAGCTCTGGCAGGAAAGAATGTAATAACCCAGATTTTGTTTTTAGGATGTAATTGTGATTAATGGTTGATTTTGTTCATATTAGAGAACACTATGATTTTGATTTGGGTCTTCTCTCTACACATGTCCCTCATGCACCTTATTATTCATTCCTACCCTACGTTTGTGTACACCTCTAAAGCACACCTCGTTTGGTCTCTTGTAGAATTAGAGAGCAAGAATAGAGGGACTGAGTAAGAAAGGGACAGCCGAGAGTGTAGTAAGAGCAATTTTGGTCCAGCCATGGAAGGAGAAATTCAAGGCAGAAACTTCAGCATCAACATCATCTTCTCATCATCTCTATATTTGTCTAAGGTAGGGTTTGCTATAACACTTGTTTCTTTGGGTGATTTTGTGTTTGAATTATCTGGTAATGCCATTGATGTCCTTGTGTGAGGTTCCTATTCAGTTGCCTTCTTGATTTGTTCTTATTAGTTGTTCTAATTGAGTTCTGAAAATCTCATTTTTATTTAATCAATTCTTTGTTAATTATTGTTGGACTATCTTTACATCTTTGTTATGACTATGTTGTTATAGCCTCACCTTTTGTATTAATGGCATGTTCTTGTGATCTACAAAATTCCATAGAAACCCTTGTTATTGTTTTTCCTACTGGGACGATTGTCTTACCCTACCATTTTTCAAGTGCCATGATCAAATTGGGGAATTGGAGTTACTGAATTTCATATAGATGGAGACTATCTTTATATTGTGCATAAAGTGTTTGAGGAATTGTTTGTATGGATTTATATTTGAGGAATTGGATGTATTTTGAGTTTAAGTGCCTATGTTGTATTTAAACCATTCTATGTTCACTTAGAGACTGGTTTTACCTATCTTTGTGATAGAATTCGTATTTGGAGTTTTGAGTAAGAAAACAAGGATTTTGTATTTTTGTAGAAGTTCAATAATTTCTCCAAGGAGCTGTATTGCTCTAAATGCTTTCAAATTTTTACCACAACTTCCTTTATGCATCTAGTACTTCTCCATAAAATTTCATAATTTTTAGAATAGCATATATTTTTATAAAAATTCAAGATTACCTGCTGTCCAGATTTTACATCTGCTGGAAATCAGATTTTAAATAAATTAGTTCACCAACTTCTTGACACCGGATCTTTATCAAAACTTCCAGATTTATTCTTTCACAAGTCTACTGTCAAAATAAATTTACTTTATCAATTTCGGAGGTCAAATGAATTTTCTAAAAAATTCTGAAGTATCTGCTGCCCAGGTTTTCTTCAAACTAAGTATTGTTGATTTACTTCTCAAATTTGATTTAATTGGAAAATATTTAGCCTCCGTAAGTTGCTCAGCTGTGTGTCACTTTGAGTCTAGTTTTCAAATCATTTTTGTTTGCTCCGTTTCGATTTAAAACGAATTTTCTACGAATTTTTAAGTAGTTGCTGCGCAGATTTTACTCCTAACTCAGCACTCTTGTCCTGATGAAATTTTTTTGTACGAAATTTGGAGTACCCATTATGTAGATTTTGAGGTTGTTTGTGACGTGTTTTGGGACAATGACTGGACTATGGATTTTGAATTGGATGATTTTGGGAGAATTTATTCAGACGGTTTCCGACTCATGTTTTATTCATGCCCCTAATTTTCGGGTCATTACAAAGACAGTATTACTCGTGACTAACCAAGTTCACTTCCTTTCTACATTTGATTCTATTTTGGTAAGTAATTTAATCATTAACACTCTCCATTATCATTCTGCAACAGTAATTCTTTTATATTCAACAGTATAGCAAACATCCATTTCCTTTATACGTGTCTCCAATAATTTGATACCTAAACCCGTGTCCAGAATCAGTTCTTCTAAGCAAGAATTTGAAAAGAAAATAATATCATTATGTTGACAGTTGATATCTGAAGGGAAAATCCTGGAAGCGGCTACCTATTATCAGTTGTTGGCTTCTAGTCAAGAATTTCAGAACCTTGTCAATGCTCACATTCACACTGTAGGTTCCAAGAGAAACACTCAATACAGTACTTCTCAAAGGCCTAAAACCCTCAAAGAAGAGATCCAGAAAGTTTACACTCAGGAATAGTTGGACGCAACAGTAGGAGATCAGTTGATTAAGCAAGAGGAAAGAGAAAAAGACGATACCGGTCTGAAGCCTTACAATATCTGAGACACAACAAGGGATTCTTATACCTCTCCCTGGCAGTTATAGCCCAGATTATATATATTGTTGGGCAGTTTGCTCAAAATCTTTGTTTGGCTGATCCTAGTACAAGTAGATTGAATATGGTCTTAATATACTCGGTTATTGGGTGTGGCATGGTACTGTTCTTGCTCGTTAGATCTTTTTATCAGGTTGTTTTAGGCCTCAAGGCATCAAATTCTATTTTTTCCAAATTAATGACCTCTCTTTTTCGAGCCCCAATGTCTTTTTATGACTCAACACCTCTGGGAAGGATACTCAGTCGGGTAAGAACCTACAAAGTTAACTTCAATGCAAATCATGATTCAGAGAATTCCATGACTTGATACTTCTATTATTTTTATTTAATTTTACAGGTATCTTCTGACCTGAGTATTGTGGACCTAGAACTGGTATTCAAATTAAGTTTGGGCATAGTGACAACCTTGAACACATATTCTAGCTTTGGAATATTCGGTTTCCTTACCTGGCCAATCTTATTTGTCATAATACCCATGATTTATGTAACCATACTCATGCAGGTAATACACCAATGTTAGTAGTTTTGTACTGCTCTTTAACAAGAATACTAATTGAAAAAGTATAATGCATTTTCCCATCCTCTCTGGACTTTTCTAATGCATTGCAATATATTTGTTATTGGGTTACCACCAGCATGTATTATTTAGGTCACGTACCTGCACAAACATACATTTGTTAGTGGGCATTTCTTGGTGAAATGTGTAAAGGCTGACAAGCATGAAGACGTGGGTAAGAGGACCAATGTGAACAGCACCAAGCAACCAAGGAGTGCCAGTCAGAAAGATCAATGTGAACGTTGGAGAGGAGCTAAAAGGGCAGAGAAAGAAGAGATAGTCATGGCTTTCTACCGCATTGGAAGACCGGGGACATGATGTTAGGAAAGTGTAGAAAGGAGAGACTTCTAAGATCTGCTTGGTTTAGTTTTCTACAAACAATTCTCAAAAACTAAAAAAGCTATTTTCAGATCAACTATAAAAGAGAGATTTCTGTACAATTTTCAAAATTTTCAGTTTTTATATAAAACTGTTTTTAAAAAATTGAACAGAGCCCTCAAAAAATGCAAAAAATTAACATTTTAGAAAATTGAACCAAGGCGGCCCTACTTTCTCTAAGGGAAAGCATGGTAAGATCAAGGCATAGGATGGAAGAAATTAGTTGTTCAGATTACCAACAGTGGTTCATTTGATTAGATTACTCTTACCAGACTTTTGCTTCTTTCTACTAGGATTTATTCTCTTAATATCATCATAACTAAATGGCCGGAGCAAAGGAATGAACAAATTTGAACAGGAGTTCTCCTATTAATTATGAGTGAATCATTTGAACAAATTGAACAAATGAATAAATTTGTAAGACGCATTCTAAAATGCCAGGGAACAAGTAGAAGGGAAAAGGAATGAAACACAACATCAATAAATAAGGCAGTTCTGCAACTACTAGTGTCATAAATTTACTAATTTAACGAAATTTATCATAACCTCAGTTTGTTGTCATTTTTATTCTTAGATGCATAAAAACACAACAACATCAATAAATAAGGCAGTTCTGCAACTACTTCATAAATTTCAAAGCATGAAAAGTGCTACAAGGTTAGTCATGTTTCTTTTGACCAACTCTTATTCAAGAAATTAAATACATCTCCCCAAAACCCCATTAAAAAAACATATAGAAAAAGAACAAAAAAAAAAGGAATAAGAGAAGTTAAAAATGTAAAGGCAGCCAGTGTGCGAGGGAACAAAAAGAAGGTATTGCCTATTGAAATATTTTATAGATAAGAACAAACTTCAATTCGATAACATCATCAAAAATAAACAAATGCTCACATGCTGAATCATTTCAAAAATGGAACACAACTACGACTTAAGAACAGAGTTAATCAAGGGACCAGGAGCATTAAAAAAAAAAAAAAACACTATTGCAATGATAAATAAATAAAAATGACAAGAACCTTCCACCACCCGCTTACAATTTACTATTTGTTTTAATTAGTAAATGGTACTTCAAATTACAACTAATCTTGTTTTTGGTTTTAATATTTTGGTTACGTGTTGGATTAATTGTATTTAATACTGTGTCTATTCCTGTTTCAATTCTCCCTAATTAGTAAATGGTACTTCAAATTACAACTAATCTTGTTTTTGGTTTTAATATTTTGGTTACGTGTTGGATTAATAAAAAAAATAATTAATAAATAAATAAATTACAAAAATGCTGTACCTAGCACTTAATGAAGGGGTTGGTTCTCCCTTCTTGTAAGAAAAGCTAGTTCAGGCCAATAAATACGACAACACCCACCAAGGCTACTTCTTTTCTTCCTCGGAGTAACTGTAAAGAGCCTAGATGGAGAGAGAGACTGTAAAAAAAACCAAAACTAATATGAGCCTTCCAATCGGATTTCATAAGTTAATCCTTTGCTTCGGAGAGAGAAACTGAGCAAAAAAAGGCAACACTCCTGTTGGATACCAGAATCGAACGTAACTAATATGATTTATTTTCAAAGTAATTTCACGCTTGGAAGGCTCATATGAAAACAAACATTTGGCTCATGTGAAAACAAAAACTCGAATAACATTCTGATTCCTATAAAACGATGGAAAGGATGAAAGTAACAGAGAGGCAACTGTAACAAGGTACGTACCGTCGTCCATGGTGGCTCTCTTCAACTTCAATTTTGGTCGCTAGTTGAAAACCCTAACCACTTCGCTGGTCGGTTACGGAATGATCGACACCGTCGGGAGCCCAATCTGAGAAAGACGAGTTTAAGAAATCAAGCTTTCTTTCCTCAAATTACTGCCATCAACACGGTTGAAATCGATAGATGAAAGATTCGGGTCTCTCTCTTTCCACACTCGTTAAAGCTTGTTTTGGGACGAAAAAGAACTCTGAATCCCTAGTTCTTTATTTTTTTTTTCGGTATATATATTTAAAGTGATTTTATTTATTGTGCCTGATAGTTGTTCGAAAATAAACAAATAAAAATAAATAAATAAGCCGGGAAGCGAAAATTTTTTGCCGGGCAGTGAAAAGTTTTTGGTGGGGAGCGAAAAATTTTTGCCGGGAAACGTAAAAAAATTTATTGCTTATCTACTGCACAAAAGAGATGCTTTACATGTGAAATTTATTCGCGGACTCTTTCATCCATCGTAAATGTGATTTTAGTAATAGTTGCTTATTTAAATTTTTGCTAGACAATGAAAAAAAAATTATTGTTTATTTACGGGGCAAAAAAGATGTCTTAAATGTAAATTTTATCCGCGGGCTCTTTAATCCACCATAAAAGAACTTAAGTTCATTTTTTCTTTTTTCTGTATATATTTTTTAAGTGATTTTATTAATAGTCGCGTATTTACGGGGCAAAAAAATTGCCTTAAATGTGAAATTGATCAACGAGGAACATTAATCCCGTTAAAGGTATACAAATAAGCCGTAAATATATCTAAATATTCACGAGCTCTTTAATACACCGTAAAAATATTTTTCTACTAGAATTCCACTAAATCCTCGTGAAAGCATGTCCTATAATGTAACAATTATAAGGATTCTTTTTATAAACTGTGTAAATTGTGGTAATCACGAGGCAAAATAAAGAAGCCCCGTAAATACCATGTCGTAGAAGCCCACATTTCTTGTAGTGTAAATTTCAGGTGCACACTCCACTACACCAGAACTGTCGACCCATGCCAAGTTAGAAAAGGCTTAATTTGATCCTTCTTGTTTCACATATTGCATTTTCGGGCTAAATAGTAAAATCCGAGCCTTTAAGGATTCATTTTCAAATTAGATGGCGTAAAGTGTGTTCCGGCACATCCACTAGGACCTATTTTATATGCATGAAGTGTGTCTAAGGGCCAAATGGTCATATGAAACCATTTCATAATTTTGGTTTTCACATTTTCCATTTCAAGTTCATTTTCGCTTTTTTGGCCGTTGGGGGGTCGGATTTTGACTCGGCCATTTCCGGGAGCCGCGGACTATTCCCGCGCACTCAAAGTCACTATTTACGTCTGTGTGCATAATCGTTTTCATGAAAAACCTCTTCCTTGGTGAAATGAGCCTCCGGTGGACTCGTTTCACACTTTTTTTGAAAAATCTTGTTCAAGGGAATTTTGGGGATTTCCTTCACGAAATAAATTCCATTCTCGACTCCATTACATAGAAAAAGTGATTTTAGGAGGAGTTTCTTCATAACATTTTTTCGAAAAATGTCATCTTGATCTCGAAAACCGCGTTTCAAACTCATTTTTTCTACATTTTTTATTGTTTCTGCTGCATTTTTTGTGTTCTGGTGCAGTTGAACCAGTTCAAGAATTGTTGAACCAGTTCAAGGTGTCAAATTGGTCCAACATAGATGTTCTACCCATGTTGAACCAGTTCAAGAATGTTGAACCGGTTCAAGTCTTCCAGGATTGTTTTGCAGGTTCAGCTTTGGTCTTCCAACTTTAAACTGTTGTAACTTCTTCGTTTCAACTCCAAATTAGTCCGTTCTTGAGTCTAAATGGACCGCGTCGAAGTAATATTTCCAATGGTACCAATTTCAGCATCAGATTCCATGTGTACCTCAAGATATTCATGTTTTGGTGAGGTAGTGATAGTTTTTGGTTTGAACCGGGATGAGGTTTCCCTTCCTTTAACTTCAAGACTTGATATATTTGCCATCCGGACTCCGAATCAAGTGATTCTTGAGTCCATCTTTATTAATTTTTCATTGTCTTTCCAATGGTGTGCTCGGTTGAACTCGGATATTCCTAGATAATTACCATTTTACCCTTTTAGCCTTATGTGCTCGTTTTTATTTGTCTTGCCATTTCTCCTTCATCCGGACTCCGAATCATGCGATTCTTGAGTCCATCTTGATTAGTTTTTTGTTGTCTTTCCAGCGGTGTGCTTGGTGGCACCCGAATCTATATTTTCAGAAATGACTATTTTGTCCTAGGGGCTTAATTGTTATTTTTCCGATCTCTTACTTCCGCACTTTATTCCCTTGGGTTTCATGACCTTATGGAAGGTCATCTTAGGGTCTTAGAGGTGTGTTGTGCCTTGGGAGACTATTGTCTTGTTTCTTATTTTCGCATTCTAGATCCGCTTTAGGTCATCACAGTACACACTGAGTTGAAAAATCCAGGGTCGTCACAGAAACTCATCCATATGATCTCAAATTAATATATGTTATACAACATGTCAAGACTTGATTTAAAAATATGATATAAGTGAATCCCATGCAAGATACGACCATGAGTATTAAATTTTAATACTAGAAAATAATTAAATGAAAGATTTCAAAACCTAATCAAATATTCCCAATTTAATATATATGAAAGTATATAGCATGCACATCAACAAAATGAAGTTAAAAATCCAATGGAGTGAATAATGCACTTGGAATAAAATTAATTAATTAATTGTTACTAGATTTTAAAACACCTCCGATTACTCTCAAATTCATATATGTTGAAGAGTATGTTAGGGCCTAATATAATATGATATCTCATATTACTTTCAAGCTAGATAAGACCACATGAATTAAATTTTTATTTTAGAAAAATATTAAATAAAAACTTCAATACATGTCAAATGCTCTCAATTTAATATATGTCAATGAACATATCAAAGTGTGATATAATATCATGCCACTTGATTAAACCAAACTATAATCAACCGAGAAAATCAAATCTCATACAATAAAAATAAATAATTAAAATTTATAGATTTGATACCCAAGCATGTAAATAAGTTGCATAAACATCAATAACATGCAATACTTCAAGAACATAAACTATAACACCCCCTACCTTAATTTGAAATGGAAATCTCAAATCCCCACCGAAAGAAAAGTACTCTGAATCCAACGATACTTCGGGGTTTTGTTGGGAACAACACGATGATCATTAACCCCAAGGAAGCCTCATGAAAATCACAACTTGACTTCAAACCTGAACTCACAAAATTGTCAGAAATGGGTTCTAGTAAGGGGGAAAGGTGTGCGTCGTCAAGGCGAACACAAAACACTAAGGCACTACAGCGTTTTACACGAGGGAAGAGCTTCAAAGGAGGAAAGAGAAGGTGGCAGCCATGGCTGCCATGGAATCCGGCCAAGAGAGGGGAGGAAGATGATGAAATCTGATTTTTTGACTTAAGACCCCTATTTATAAAAAAAACTAAAAAAAAATGCCCCTAACGGGTCCCGCCGGGTTCGGAAAAGTAGAATTTGAGCAAACGCGCTCAAACGGTGAAACTCCATGAACGAAAAAGAACCGATATGAGAAAATATGAATAACGGAAGAAACAGAGTCGAAAACCGAGTCCCGAGCAGAGAGATATGCCCCGAACAAATTCGGCGGCAACTAGGGCCAGAAACCCTGAAACTGGAGAAAAACGACAAGAAGAAAATTCTAAGAGTACACAACTGGACAAAATGTGAAAATAAATCTCGTACGAGGATCTAGGCTCAAAATGAGGTATTTTGTAATAACTTTAGTTAATTGCACAATGGCCCCTCCAAAAAGGGTTAACTGCACTAATGACCTAGAATGAAAATATCTTCCAAAAATATTTTCTTAAAAACCCTGAAATAAAACATCTTCAAAATATATTTATAAAAAACACCCCAAGAAAAGAAAAAGATTCTGAAGAACTGTGCATCCATGCCCCTATGGACACCGGGAGCAACTAGAGTACTTTTCTACAAAAGTAAAGATACGTATTTTGTGGAAACCACTTAGAATAAAGATATATGAAGTCAAAAACCAACTCCGAGCATGAAAAGTGAGGTAGTGCCAAAAAAGTGACAAACGAGGAAAAATTCAAAATAGGGAAAAGGACGAAAAGTGAATAGTGTCCAAAAAGTAAAAATGTGGAAATGACTCAGTTCTTAAGGAAGTTGTCAATCTAAACGAAAAAGTCTCGAAAACCATTTCCAAGCACTAGAGATGACACCAAGTGACGAGAAACAAAATTTGGAAAAGAAAATTAAATGGAAAAAATTTATTCGTAAAATTTAAGGAAAGGAAAGGGAGGAAAATGATCGGAACATTACATTTTGACTCCTTTTTTTAGGAGAATTCCCTTAGGTTTTTTTATGATCTAAGGGTCCTGGTGTTTTCTTTTTCTTTGTGGGTGCCGGTGTTTGTTCGGCAACATATTTGGAGGAGAATACCAATTTTTTCGGCCTTATTTTTCTCTTTCCTCCCTCTTCGACGTGTGGGCCAGCCTTATTTTGGTATTATGAGTGATTCTAGTAGCCAAAAGGATACTTTATCTTCGAGCCGCGGCTACACTACCGCAGTAGCTGATACTATTGGTGGGTATATTACTCCACAGATTGTTATCCCTCCTGCTTCAACTCCTCCCAGACCACCTTTTCAAGACCTGTGTTTGAAGATAATTTTTGGCAGGAGCACGATGGCCTCTAATACTTTAGGGATCCTCCACTGACACCTCCTCCACTTGTTTCAAGCCTTCAAGCCTCTGTTCTTCCAGGTCTTATGATTTTTCTTTTCAGACTTTATGGCATGCTCACCTTGGGCATGTAAACTTGTAGTATTTATGTTTACTTTTATCTTCATTAATAACGGCTTGTAAGGATAATAAGTTTCAAGACTGACAGACGTTCCACATCCGGATTCTGTACTTTCTATAGAGACCATCTTATATCTTGGAAAAGTAAGAAACAACTTGTAGTTTCGATATCTTCAGCAGAGGCTCAGGGTACTTGTGAGATTCTCTGGCTACGATATTTCTTGGAGGAGCTAGGGCTAGGTGAAAAATAGTCCTCATAATTGTTTTATGATAATAAGTTAGCCATCATGCTTGCTTTAGATTCTATTCTTCATAAGAGGACTAAACGTATAGAGGTGGACAATCATTTTATCAGAGAGAAGGTTCGTTCGAGAATAATCAAGCTGCGCTTTGTTCGTTCCTCTAATCAGTCGGCCGATGTGTAATAGCGTTATTTACGCTAGGATTGTGAGCATGTGGTCATAGGATTTGGTAAATATACATAATTCTAGCCAATCTATTGGACCTGGACATGCGTCATTATGGTATGTTATTTGGTATGAGATTGTTAAATCATCACTACGAGTCAAATAATCTAGTACGATTAGTTTGATTTTTGACACTAGGTCTGGATACGTATTTGATTACAATGCAATGATAATGGTGGTTGTTAATGTTTCTGTATTAGTGAGGTTGTAGTAAATAAAAACCACTGCAACGCTACGATGGTTTATAAGAGGTGCCGGATTTGCAGAACATCTCTTTGAAAAATTTCAAAAGTTGTTCCCAAGTCGGAAGGAGGATTTAGTACTAGTTTCGGTACTTATTGGAATGACACCAAGTGAGGACATTAGACTGGATAAATCTTCATTAGTCTATTCTTAATCAAGCTGGGCCTAATTAATATCTTCACTCCAGATTGAGGGGGAGTGATGAAATATCTTTATTATTTTTATTTTTATTAGCTATTTTTAGCCTTTTATTAGATGTTTTATGTAAGATCCCCATAATCATGAGATTACGTAGATAAAATTCCCATAATCATTGGATCACGTAGATTTTGGCATATATTCTGTCTTTCTGATTTGGTTTCTTTTCTTTGTACCCTATTCTTGTATATAAATATAGATCTTAGCTTTCAGTTTGAGTAAGCCAAAACCCAAAACTTCTTCTTTTATACCAAAATAGGGTAACTAAGATATGGCATAGCAAACTAAAGAAACAAAAGAATGGAAAATGGAAAAAGAAAGACAGCAGTACCTCTTACCGAGAACTTTATTAGAACAAAATGGAATCATTTCTACTCTTAATGTGGACATTGGGTGACAAAGGGCTCAACAAATGGATGCATATCAATGTGAAAAGTGGGTAGTCAAGCCTCCGGAGAGAGATTTCATTGCCATACGGAGTCTAGAAGTCCAAAAGAGAGAGCTATCAAATCACAAAGTGCATGGACATCAACACTGAAATGTACTAAAGATGCTTATGATGATAAAATAAAACCATAACAGATGTCTATAGTGAAGCCATAGAACCACCCTGTCAGTTTTTATCAGCGCTAGAATAATGGATAGCAGTAAAGCAAACCATTAACAATAAAACCTTTCCTTCCAAACAAAGTAGATTAGTGTCTCATTAAGAGATATCTAACAGAAGCCCAAACAAGTGCATCCCCAGGAGGTGCAAATCAGGGAGGAGCTTATCTGAGGATCGTTCCAATGAAACCCTATAATGAAGCAAAAAAACTTTAATATGATTGTTTCAAACAAAAATCAAAATACGAAAGCAAGGACAAAGAAGAATAAGAAAATTTAACAGGAAATAAGATAATTCTAAGTCAACATAAAGTATATAACTACTTACTCTAGCATGCTCTTTGATCAACCAAAATTTAAGTGGAGAATATGTGCTTACAACCTCAACGACATCATTTCAAATAACTGAAACCTAAATTTAAGTGGAGAACATGGCGATGACCATAACATTTCTGGGTAGCATCTCCTGTCCTAAGGCATGGTTTGATGGACCACATGCCTCAAACAGATAAGAAGATAATATAGAAGAACACGCAAAATATGTAACAAAATAAAATCCAACTCAGTGACTAACCATAACATGGACATACACATCCTTGTTTTCTTTATGGCATCTCAATCCCGTCTTTCCACTTATCTTTTCATTTCATTTCCCTCATTTTTATTTTCTTTTTATATATATTTTTTTCCTTTCCATTTCTTTGTGCTTTTTCGTTTTTTGAGCAATTGGTTTCCATCTCACGTCCCCTCATTTTTTTTTTTTTTGGCACTTTCGTTCAATTTTCTTTCTTCATAAAACAAAATAGACAAAAAGCAAGAATATGAAAACTAAAAGCCTGTTAAAAATCAGGTCACAAGTTCAAACTTCAAATGTAACCTTTATATTTGCTCTATATGTAATCGAGTTACAAAATAATTAGTGAACCCAAATCTAAGACACCTTTTTCAAAAATCTTTCCTTGATAAATCACGGCAATCATATCGGCATTCCTCAACGTGCTCAATCGATGGGCTACAATAACTGTTGTCCTGTTGACCATAACCCTATCCATTGCTTCTTGCAAGTTCCTCTCGGATTCAGCATCAAGAGCACTTGTTGCTTCATTTAGAAGTAGATTTTGGGGATCCTTCAGAATTGCTCAGGCGAGGGAAACTCGTTGCTTCCATCCACCAAACAACTGAATTTCCTGCTCACCCACCATAGTGCGGTGTACCTAAATTAAAATTTTAAAATTCAAAGGCAAATTAGAATTCATATTTTCAGGAAAGTGAAGAAAGAAAAATGCTGAAAGAGTGACTAAATGGACAAGCAAGAACCTGAAGTAGTTTATCAATGAATTTGGCAGAATTTACTAGCTCAGCTGCAACTCTAATATCCTCAATTGTTGTCCCATCCTTCCCCATACACAATATTATCCTCGATGCTGGATGCAAACAACACGGGTTCTTGGCTGACGATAACAATTATCAACCTAAACCATTAAGCTGGAACACATATAGATTAATTCGATCAATAAGTACTTCACCAGTTTGTGGATGATAAAATCTCTGAATCAGACTGAGCACTGTTGACTTACCTCTTCCACTATGTCCAACCAAAGCTGCAGTTGTGCAACTAGGGATGGAAAGAGAGAATGCACTGACTATTCGATCATCTAGTCAGGCTGAATAACAAAAATGGACATCACTTAACTCTATATCTCCAGGCACTATGTTCCATATTTCTCCTTTGGATTGTCTTGGGTCGAAGGTTCTTCATTTCCAGGAGTCTTGCCTTATCTGTCTTCCTCAAATGTTCCGGTTGCAGCGTAAGTAGAAACAGGGAGTTCGGTTGCCTGGTTTAGATATTTGTGAAGTTCTCTGTCCGGATCTGGTTGATAACATCATCAACCTCTCAAACAGCTCCGCTCAAAGTGGACTAATGTCATTCAATACTTTTCCATTCATGTCAAATGCATCTATCTCTAGCGTCTTATTTATAGTCTCAAACATCTATAATACAACAGCTTGACCTGCAGCAAATGCACTCATGCAAGGAGAATTGGAGATGCCTGCCGTAAAGACCTGAAATATCCACATTTCAGCAAAAAGTTTTAAATATATGATTTGCTACAAACTGACAAGCTCAAGCAGAAGATGAAGTGTTTTCCTTTATGTTGTACTGAAAAAGCTATAACTTCTTTAGAAGCTACTAAAAATCAAAACTTCATTTTAGCTCTTCTTATTCTTTTACATCTCATCCCGATTCTTAACTTTTCACGTCTTACAACTCTACTAACATTTTGTCCTTTCCATCCTTTCAGCTCTTCGGAGTAACATGAAACATAGATAAATTGAAAAAGATAAACATTCAAGCAAATAACAGCAGTAAGAGCAACCGAACTGGATGCACAAATATGCACCTCAATGTTTCATATGATTTACCTTCCTAAACAAAACTTCTATAACATATAAAAGCACCCATGCAAGCCACACTCTCCCTTGTGAGACAGAGTGGGAGGTGATTGTTGTTTCCTCCAGATGATTCCCAACTTGTGGAACGCAGGAATGAAATTTGTTGATTTGACAATCTACCAGATTCCGTGGTAATTTAAGACTTGTCTTGCTCACTTCTAGAAATCATATGAGCTGAGAGTATGCTCCATTAGGATCCTTGAGTAGCTCCAAATATTATGCTCCCCTTCTAAGCACAACTCACTTCTTATGAGGAGTAACCCAAAACATAAATAAATTGACATTAGCTAAATTTTAAAGCACATACAATTGGAATGAAAGTTGTAAAAGAAATGAGAAACAACAAAGCTAATGCAGTTATGTTATCGCACCATTAATAATTGCAGATACAGCTCCTGCTATCAGAACTGGAACCTCTGGTTTGTAGAGATGGGCAAGGAGGGGCAGTGGAACTTCTAAACGCTGTTCTGACAGTTTTGATAGGTGGCCACCGGGTTCTCTTAATGCAGTTTCAGGAACACTCAGTCCAGCTGATGTTGGTAGACCAAATGAGACACTGGAACCGAGTGACACTTGCATCGATTGATTTGATTTCAATGGTCGATCGATGAAGCCTTGCTATGTTTCCTAGCGACGTACTTAAAAATGCCCTAAATTGCTTCTTTTGCAATTGTAAGTCCCCATACACCCTACATGATCTCTCATATGATCAAATATATAAATAAAGACACAAAAAAACAAAATTATAAAGAAATATATTTTTGTCATTTTTCAATTTTGTGACGATATGCAAAGACACATATATAAATATATAAATCTAAACATGCCAAGGTTTTCGAAGTGTCAATAAATCATCAATCAAATTGAACATTATTTGGACCCACAAATTTTTATTATATTATCTTTAGAAACATAAAAATTCGCATAATTAGGTTCAAAGATTTCTAGTCCATTTATAAATCAATAGTAGTCAACTTAGTCCATTATATGTGCATTAGAAATAAACTCAACACAAATATAATCAATTTCAAATTTGTGTTCAAAAACAAAAACAAATTTCACACAGGATTCAAAGATTTCAAAAGCATGTGAATTTTCACTCTTTTCTTTTTCTTTTTGAAACCTCTCTAGTTTTTTTCTTTTCTATGACAGCTTTCACTTAGCCAGCTATTTTCCCTTATTCCCATTTTTTTCAAGTCAAGGAAGCTTTCGGTCTGATCTCACTAGGTAGCCCTTTTCATAAGAAACTTTTTGCAGCCATCTCATTGGAGATTTTTCATTTCTTTTCAACTGCAAAAACACCCCCTATTTTTTTATTTTATTTTATTTTTTTTTTTGCTTTCACTCTTTTCTTTTTCTTTTTGAAACCTCTCTAGTTTTTTTCTTTTGTTTCTATGACGGCTTTCACTCTAATGAGTAGCCAGCTATTTTCCCTTATTCCCATTTTTTTCGAGTCAAGGAAGCTTTCGGTCTGATCTCACTAGGTAACCCTTTTCATAAGAAACTTTTTGCAGCCATCTCATTGGAGATTTTTCGTTTCTTTTCAACTGCAAAAACAAACATGTTTTTTTTCCCCTCTTTGCACCTCACTTTTTTTTTTCAAATGCCATCATCTTATATTACCTTAAGATGTCACTCATTATTTGAGTCTAAGATCACAAGTTTGAAAGATCATATAAATGTGAGTTAGTGTGTGTGTGAATAATTTCACAAGTTTCTTACTATAAAGAAATAAATAAACCAAAACTTTTACTAGAAATTATTCAAACTTCTATGTTTAATCAGAATCAATTTCAAAATTGTGTTTCCAAAGTTTTATCTTTTTAATTGGCTCTTGATTGAACAATTCAAAGTTTATGGCATGTATTTCTAGACACAAATACATAAATAAATTAAACAAATATACATGATAAGTATGCATAAATTATCATACTAGGGAACAAGCATTTTCACTCCTCTTGAGGATTCTCCTCCTCCCCCTTTCCCATGAAATCAAACAACCCACGATCCACGACCACATCACCCCTAATCGTACAGTATTCATTGTCAAGCCCCATCTCTTATATTTGCACTCTCAGATCACAAAACTCAAAAACAATATCGTTCCCAATCAACAAAATGCTTAGCTACTTTTAATTCATTTTCACAATCTTCCCTGCCATGTTCAAGCGAACCACAGAACTTTCAGAATTAAAATTGATTAGAAGAGAGAAAATACTACCTATATTCGCTAAGCAAAAAAATATGGGCAAGTATAGAAAGGAAAACCACTTGAATTAATATTATTTACCACCCAAAAAGAAAGTTCCATATCACATTGAAGCACCCAACCATGGTCTGCTTTCCCAAAACTCGAATCAACAACCTAAGAGGAATACAAAACAAAAGAAATTACACACCAATTTTAGCTAAGGGCAGAAAAACTGAAATTAAGAAAGAAAGAGAATCAGAGATAGAGGGTACACCCTCACATATTTTAAGCCATTAACTTTTTGAGTGTAAGGGAGACATAAAGAGAAAGAAATTACCTGATAGGATTATAATGAGATCGTCGCACAGTGGGTAGATTTTCAGCACAGCACAACACATAATATTATATGCCTTCAGTGCCTCATTTTTCTCTTTTTTTTTCACGTCTTACCCAATCTCCCACTTTTTTTCTTTTCCTTTTCAATCTTCTGTTTTTTTTTTTTTTTCACATGTAACTCATTCTTCCTCTTTTATCACAACTTCTCCATATTTTTTTTATTTTCCTTTTCATATAGTCTATTTTCTTTCTTCTCACATTTTTTTTCCCTACTTCTCTTTTTTTTCTCATACAAATCTGACATCCTCTTTTTTTTTTTTCCCCCTTTTTTTTTATTTTATTTTATTTTATTTTTTATTCGTACATCTCATCTCACTTCTTCTTCAAACATCTCTCACTCTCCATCTAAAAGATAACCTGAAACACAAAGGAAATTCAATTAAACAAATATACAAGCATATAAAGTTACTACGAATATTACCACCCTTCAGTTCAACCAAAAATAAATACATGCCAAAAAATAATTCCAACCTAAAATGGACATAGAATTGTCATAATATTGGATAAGCATTAATATAATGCACAAAAAGTACAATGAAATAGAATAAATGAACAGATAGTAACCGTTTTGTCAAGATGTACAGCAGCAAGCCAAGAATCTAAAGTAGTCAAAGAAGATTCTGTCAAATTCTTTTTATTGTCACCCAGGCATTTCAAATCATCTGATAGAATGCCCTACAGCAAACCACTTAACATATTAATGTCAGATATCTAAGAAAAACAGAGAAAAAAGAGGCAAATGCAGGTTGAAAGCCAACAAACCTTGCTTGACTTATCAACTGATCACCATTGCAGATGCGGCAGCACCTACAGCAGCCAAACTTGCCATAACTAATTTTTTATTGATGTCAAATAGGCGTCTTCTAAGAGATCTGAATAAATCTACTGCCAATCAACAGAAAAACAACAGATAGACAACATTACAAACAAAATACGAAGTACAATGAGGATGATCCTTGTATGGTCATGGTTAAAACTTAAAATGCATAGCTAGTAATAATCATGCAAAATAATTGTATACCAGTTCCGGTTAGCTGAATGCGCTTACTGGCCTCTTCCAAGATTTTGTTAACAACTTCAATAGATTCCAAACGAATCTGACATACAAGGAAACAACAAGTTCAAAAAGGTCAGTTATCAAGAATTAAAACTGTACCCACAAAACACACAATACTATATTACAAGCGAATCTATATATGCTAATGGCCAGACCTTCCAAACATGACTTTCTATGCCCTTTAAAAGGGCAAGTGTGATCTTCCCACTGATATCCTCACGTGGCAGGATATCAAGCCACCACTAAATGAAGAGGATGTGAAATACAATGTCTTAACAGTTTTCTTCGGAGCTGCAGATAAACCATACAAAATACAACACCACACAAAAAAGAGACAACTTATAAGGAAAAATCAGAAATGGAATGCTAAATGCAAATGCAATTCTACCTCAAATGGATTTTTATATATATTCTGCAGCACGAGGAGGTTTGACATCTGATAGAAACCCTTTGATGTCTGCAAAAGGAGGTATATCTTACTACCCATAAATCACAGCTCAAAAGCATCCAAAATTTTGATGCAGAAATTACTGGACCAACAAACGTAAAAAAAAAAATGACGAGTGAAACTTAAAAGGTATTTAATGAACTGATGATAAACCACAAATCTAAGACATAAGAAACCAAATGACTTGAATAGAATATAAGGCCAACCTCAAATAACAAGTTGATGAGTAGCGTATCCAGATCTTCCACGCCAGGGGCTTCCAAGCAAAGATCACAAACTAGAGGGATTAGGAGTGAGAGTGGCAGAATGGGACTTGGCAATATTGAAGACATAACAAAATTTATAAAGCCGCGAGGATGTGGAAAATAATAACAAATTAGGGCCTCACCTTATGGAAGAATAATGACCCACCTCAATAGGACCCCATATGTCAATTCCACCATCTATGGGCTTATCAAATCTAACACTGATTTTCAATGAGGATTTCCTTCAAAAGTTAATAAGACCTTCCCTCCAATCTCAAAAGTTGGTCCCCTAAAAATTGACATAGATATGCAGACAGAAACTGAGACATTTACCATAGTAAAATTTAAATTGTCACAAGAGAGAGAGGTACAATAGATACACATACAACATTCCACACAAGTAATGCTTGCCACATACATGTAGACAATAAATAAATAAAAATAAAAAATATTACACAGCCAATCGTTATGAAAATGCCAGTACAAAGAATAGAAAGAAATAGACATGTTGTACAGGCCACAGGCTCATACCAAGTAAACATTTTTTCCCAAATGTGTTGGTTTCATTAAAATTCAAATACTAAGTACAAGAGAAAAAGGAGGTACAACCTCCTTCAAACAAAAGAAAGGAAGATGGAAAATCCGCTGACAAAGAATGCAACACATCCCAAAAGATATCCAGCACAACAGAACATACCAAGTAAACATTTCTCACGGTAGAAGATTATTCCATATACATGATTTCACCTGAATGAAGTTACATTGATATTTTGAAGTGTTAACCTTAGGGCCCGTTTGGTATGCGTTGTGTTTTGTAGTGTTTTGTTTTAGCCTAGAACAGAACAAGTGTTTTGTAATGTGGTATTCTGAAATGAGAACAAAACATGTTTGGCAACGAAAATTTGCGGTGAGAATTTTGGAACAGAAACATGGTAGAACATGTTTGGTAGCATTTTTTACCTTCTGAAAATATTCCTAATTTTAAAGATATGGGTTTTGATTTTTTGAACAATCTGAAATGATATGCCCATTTGGGTTTTGATATAGGTAATATGTTTTGAACTTTTGATTCTTGTGGACAGATAGATAAACTGAAATATATGGGTTTTGAACTTCTGATTCTTGTAGATTTTGTAGTTTCCAGTTGCAGAGAGAGAGAGAGAGAGGGCAACTTCAGAGTTGAGAACGAGAGTAGAGCTTGATTATAAAAAAAAATCATAAAAAATTTCACCAAATACGATTTAGTTTGCAAAATAAGAATTACAGAGCTTGATTAGTTGATTTAGATAAAAAATTAAAACAAAACCCATACACGCAAGTTAGCAGTTGTAGAGAGAGAGGGGGGCAAGCTTGAGAGTTGAGAGACAGCGGCTGAAGCTTGCAAATGGCGAACCAGAACTGGAACAGCAGGCGATGGAAACTGAAAGATATGGGTTTTGATATTTTGAACAATCTGAAATGATATGCCAATATGGGTTTTCAACTTCACAGATCTGAAATATATGGGTTTTGAACTTCTGATTCTTGTAGATTTTGTAGTTTGCAGTTGGGGAGAGAAAGAGAGGGGGCAACTTCAGAATTGAGAACGAGAATTAAGATTGGGGCTAATATTTTGAACTTCTGATTCTTGTAGATTTTGTAGTTTGCAGTTGCAGAGAGAGAGAGAGAGGGCAAGTTCAGAGTTGAGAATGAGAATAGAGATGGAGGCGGGAATTGAACTTCAGATTCTTGTCTATTTTGTAGTTTGCAGTTGCAGAGAGAGGGGGGGGGGGGGGGGGGGGGGGGGGGGGGAGGGGGGCGCAAGTTCAGAGTTGTTTTTTCGGAAATTAGGGCAAGTTCAGAGTTGAGAACGAGAATAGAGATGGAGGTGATTGGGAGGCTGAAATGATTTGCCCTAAAAAAAAAAATTGTCCCGCTACAGTGTAAAATATGTTGCCCGCACTACTGTGCAAACTGGGCTCAGCTTTTTGTGGAACAAGCCAGAACACCTTTTTTTTGTTCTAACTTTTGGCCCATATTTTGAAAGTGTTCTGACACTATTGAAAGCAACACAGGCCTGTGCCAAACATATTTTGGGCCTCAATAGTGCTACTGTAGCACTTTGGGAACAAAACAAAACTACAAAACACAAACCAAACAGGGCGCCTTAGTCAGTGACTGATGAATGAACACAGAGATTAGTTAATGAATCTATGAATCAAATTTGAAAGCTCCAAGAGCAAAGGCAACAGAAAGTTTCGAAACTAATACAGACCACGTGATTTAACTTATTAGATGAAAAACAAAGGAAAGCAACTTAAAGCATACTCGGAAAGGAAATGCAAAAACAATACCAATAAATAAATAAATAACCAGTATATAGGGATTGAAGTGCTGAGAGATTAAAATACAAGTCATCCCCAAATTAAAAGAAATGATTACATAAAAGGTAGACTTGACAGCACAGTACAATTATAAAATTATACTTTGAAGGGGATAATGTTGAATATAAGCTGCCAGAAGCAGAAGTAGTGAATCTCACTTTGTCACCCACCGACTACGAAGTTTATCTTTTTCGAGAAAGGGGTTCCATAGTTTATTTAGAAAGAAAAACATAATGTTGAGCTCATGTAGAAGAGAAAAAAACAATTTAACGTTGAAGGGCACCAGAAATTGAACCATGAAAACCATGCTCACATGTAACCAGAAAGGGCATACCTGATTTGAAGGAACTCTTGAGACATGTCCAAGGAAGACATAATAGTCTAGGCCAAAAGAAAAAGGAACATTTGAAGAGCCAAGTGTATCTGCTTCAGAAACTGTAGGAGAAGTGATCTTAGTTAAGTCGGTAGCCCCAAAACCTTGCTTGGTTTTATTGCAGGGTTTTTCTGTATTAAATCCCCCGTTCAGTAGTTCTGCTTCATTTTGTGCTTCAACATTGATGTTATCGAGTCCTTCACCAAAAAGAACTAGGCCCAGTTCAGCTAACCACTAGGACTCTACAAATGTTGCACACTGCATGTACTTCTTTCTTGTCAAGATCGACCCATGACAAACCACATAATCTGGGGTGTAACCAAAACCATATAGAGCACTGCTTGGGTGCAAGTGGCAAGGCATCCCATTCTGCAAATTAACATACACCCCCAACACCTTTAAGCCTTGCTGAATTGTGAAATTATTCAGAACAGATAGCCTTCCTCACAATATCCCAAACAAGTCCACAGGATTTGAGTGGGATTGCAGTGTATTCAGAATATTGAGTAACTGGGATCTCACCCTTCTTGCTTTCTGAAACCCTTTTACATGTAAAAAGTGATTATTGCACCAATCACCCCGGTATTGATTAGGTTCCATTGCTGGTAAACATTTAGTAGTGTGAGGTGGTCAGATTCTTAAACAAAGAATTTTTCCCTTGCAGCATCACTATCCTCCACCATGTCCTTAGGTCTAAAGAACACTGATGGCACTGAAAGCATTGATACAATTGTCAGAAACTCATCTATGCATCCTAGTTGTTCTCCTGTCAAGAGCACCTTAGTAAGTGGTGGATCCAATGGGAACACCATTTTCCAACCAATATCAGGTAGGCTTCCCATACATAATATTATCCTCACCCCTGGAAGCGAACAACACGGGTTCCTAACTGACGAGACCAATTCTCTCCCAAATCCATTTAAGCTGGAACACTTTTAGATTAATTCCATCAGTAAGTACACCAGATTGTGGATCATAAAATCTATGGATCAGACAGATCACTGTTGACTTCACGCTTCCACTATGTCCAATCAAAGCTGCAGTTGTGCCACTATGGATGGAAAGAGAGAGTGCACTGAATATTTGCTCATCTGGTATGGTTGGATAACTAAAATGGACATATCTTCGCTCTGCCTCCAGACTTATGTCATCCAATATTTTTCCCTTCATGTCATATGCATCTATCTCTGGCTTCCTATATATAGTCTCAACCATCTGGAATGTAGCAGCTTGACCAGCACCAAATAAACTTGTGAAGTGAGATCCCTGCCCTGAAGACCTGAAATATCACATTGCAAGAAATGGTTGTAAATAAATGAATTGCTTCCAATCTGACAAACTCAAGCATAAGGTGAAAACGTTCTCCTTCATGTGGTACTAAAACACTATAACTTCATTAGAAGCTACAAAAAAGGTAAAAAAACAAAAACTATAACTTCATTTTAGCTCTTTTTTTTCTTTTACATCTCATAGGAATTTTAATTTTCACATCATACAATTCTCTCATAACCTAAGTCACACAGATCAGCTGTAGGAGCATGAGAGCGTCACCCATTTAGAAGAATTATGTGAGCTATTCGGAGTAACGTGAAACATAGACAAATTCAAAAAGATAAATATTCAAGCATATACAAGTAGTAAGAAAAACTGAACTGGATTCACAAATACGCATCCTAATGTGGCTAATCATAGAAGATTAAAAAAAATAAGCAAAAAAAAAAATAGTTTCATATGATTTACATTCGAAAACAGAACTTCCATAACATATAGAAGCGCCCAGCCAACCCAGTCTCTGCCTTGTGAGAAAAGGAAGAGACAATCTAAAGAAAAATACAAAGTTGATAGACATTCATTTGAGATAAGGGCATTAAAATTCCAATTGGAATGGAAGTTGTAAAAGAAATGAGAAACCATACCAGCTAATACAGTAACGTAATCACACCATTAATTATTGCAGATACGGCTCCTGCTATCAGAACCAGAACCTCTGGTTTGTTGAGATAGGCAAGGCTGTAGCGGAACTTCTTGACACTTTTCTGACAGTTTTTATAGGTGCCACCGGTCTGTTAATGCAGTTTCAGGAACACTTGCTCCTGCTAGTGCTAGTGGACCAAATGGGACAGAGAATGAGTAGTGGTGGTTGTTTCCTGATCCAGATGATCCCCAAACTTGTGGAACGCAGAAAAGACATTAGTTGACCTGACTGTCAACCAGATTCCGTATTAATTTCTGACTTTGTCTTGAAATTGCACCTTGTAGTTGTGAATCTTTGTTCACTTCTAGCAATCATATGACCTGAAAGTGATCCTTGATTAGTTCCACATGTGAGTCTGTTCAATTAACAAATATGACACTAATTGACATACATTTTCCCCTGATCTATGAGAACTATGTTGAAAAACAGTAAAAAAAGAAGTTGAGATTTAGGAACAAAATGAAGAAATTTTTAAAAATTTGTAATTACCAGGAAAATTTCATTAGAACGTATTTACAATTTTCATTTTTTCCTTTAAAAAATTACCTTTGGGAAAGAAATGTATACTATAGTAGAAAGAAGCACATTTTCCATTGTAACTAATAGGAACTTGGATTTAATTGGGAATTTTCTCAAAACATGGAAATATTTATGAAGAAGAAAACTACAAGCCAATTAAAAATCATATCACCAGTTAAGGAATGAGAAATAACCTTCAGATTTTCTGTATATTGATATAATTACATGTCAATTAGCAAAGCACAATCTAAAATACCTTTTTCAACCACCTTGATGAATCAAGGCAATCATATCGGCATTCCTCACTGTGCTCAAACAATGGGCAACAATAATTGTTGCTTTCCATTCATGCATGGTGATTTTATTTTAGGATGTAATTTCATTTACTCCTACCTTCCTTTACAGTTAAAAGAAAAAACCATTTCTTTAACTTTAAAAGATAATACAGTTGTTGAAATTCTTATACAAGAAAATCTTGCTTCTGTATGTGATAGTAATTTTTCTCCCCCCAAAAGAAAAAATCCTGATATTTTTGTCTTAAATGAAAAACATTGGTTATACGCCATATTAAGACAAAATTTCTCTGACAATCCTTCAAATCTCTGGAAACGAAGCCCTCGTTTTTGTAGGTTACAACTTAAGGATACTAATGTCATCATCCGTGTAAAACCCATGATATATCTCAGAAAAGACATAGATGAGTTTGATGACCAGCTTCAAGATCTTCTAGAAAAGAAGCTCATTGAAAGGACTAAAAGTCCTCACAGTAGCCCTGCCTTTATGGTAAGAAACCATAGTGAGGTTAAAAGAGGAAAAGCCCGTATGGTAATCAACTCTAAGCGGCTTAATGAACATTTAATTTTCGATGGGTATTTTATTCCTCGAAAAGATGATCTCATAAATCAAACTCGCAGAACAAAAATCTTTAGCAAGTTTGATTGCAAAGCAGGCTTTTGGCAAATAAAATTAAGGAAAAAATCCAAGCCACTAACTGCTTTCAGCACACCTCGAGGTCATTACCAGTGGACTGTAATGCCATTCGGTCTCAATACTGCACCTCAAATCTATCAACGATGGATGGATAAGATCTTTAATGACCTTAAAGATTTTGTTGTTATATACATGGATGATATTTTGGTCTTCTCTAAAACAAGGGACGAACACAAAACACTTACAACTTCTTTCCACTAAATTAAAAAACACATGGAATTATTTTGTCACCAAACAAAATAAAAGTTGAACAGGAATCTATTGATTTCTTAGGCCTAGTTTTAACCCAAAAAGGGCTAAAACTACAGGATCACATTATTATCAAAATTCGTGATTTTTCTGATGAAATTCAAGATAAAAAGCAACTTCAAAGTTTTCTCGGTATTTTGAATTATGGCCGCAACTTTATTAAAGGATTGTCTCAAAAGGAGCTCCCTTTAATAAAGAAATTGCAAAAAGATAAAGTCTTTGAATGGATTGACGAGGACAAAAGTTGTCCAACAGATCAAACGCAATCTTGTCCATATCCCTGAAGTTTATTTTCCCCAAAACGGTGATAAACTTATTCTTGAAACTGATGCCTCAGACCTATGTTGGGGATGCATTTTAAAAGCTATTCCACAAGATAAGTGGAATGAAACTGTTTTCACAAATCATCAGATCCGAGCACGAAAAACTCCTATCTCAAAAAAGCTTCAAAAAGAAGAATTGATTTGTGGTTATAATTCTGGAAAATTTAAACCAAATGAACAAAATTATATTATTTATGAAAAAGAACTTCTAGCCATCAAATTAGCTATAAAGCGTTTTCATATTTATCTCGCTCCAGAAGATTTTATTATTTGTACTGATAATCAAGCAGTAAAGGACTTCCTTATAAACAAGAAAAACTGTTTAGAAGGAAGAAGATTAAAATGATAAAATGTTATTGCCCAATATTCTTTTGCTATAGAACATATCAAAGGCACTAACAATTTTCTTGCAGACGTTTTGAGCAGAAATTATATCGAAATATCTAACAACGATATTTCTTTATCCACAGATGAGCAATCGAAGTAAACAACCTCAAAAAGATGGTTGGATTACAATTGCTAAAAAGGCGACTAAACAACCTGTTCCGACATCATCACAACCACAAAAATGGTTCGTGGTCTTTGCAGGATTCCAACCAGGGATCTATCCCGAGTGGCACGATTGTCATGCCCGGCTAAAAAACTTTTTTGGTTCATGCTTCAAAGCTTATGACCCACTTGAGGAAGCTCAACAAGTTTTCTACAATGTGGGTAAAGCTTCACAAAATATTTTTGCTAATTTTGCAAAAAGGCAGGAAGCAATAGAAGTAAAAAACTTTTACAATCCTAGTATTCCACACAATTTTTACGAAGAAATCAATGGTGTGTGGAAAATGCATCAACTAGAATGCAATAAGAAATTCAGGCAACACCTAAGTAATCTTACTTTGCTCATTGCTAAACAAACAGCTATGACTGAAGAGCTGAAAAAGCTTTGCATCCAGATCTGTCTCACAGTTGACTGGGAGAAAGTTTTTCTTTAGATCAAATAAATTGTTTTCTTAAACTTGCCCAGTTAGTTGGAGAACATGATTTTCCAAAAAATACTTTTGCAAAAATCAACCGAATATGTCTTCTTGAAAAAGCAAGAAACATGTGTCCTCCTGAATTGTTTAGAATAATCCTCTCCAAAATAAATGATCATTCTACAACAATAAAAAAAAATATTATCTTGAAAATCATAACGAAATAAACCATTTCTATGTGATTTACAACAATAAAAAGATTCCAAAACTGACTCTTTTCATTGTCCCCGGTTTTGACTGGTCAATGGAACCTGTCGATTGGGGAGTAATTAACAAAATTACTTTCTCCTCACATGATTGTATGTCATGGAATGCTTTCCTTGCCACGATCAAAGCCATGATATACAAAACAACAGCTCACTAGAAATTCAGCCGCAATCTGACTTTCTGGATTTCTAGTACTATTGGATGGCGAGAAAAAAAAAAAAAATTTCCAGCCTTATCAAATCTGGCTTCTCAAGCTTACAGAAGACAGCGAATTCGAACATCACCAACTTTTGAATTCTCAAAAGATCGCAAAAAGGATTAACCCCTTTGATCTAGCTATCAACAGTCTTATCCACCTCCAAGACAAAGCTCGACGAGTTCTACAAGATGATTCTTTAGAACCGCCGTTTAAAAAGGTCCGTGATGGAAGAAGACTATTCGTCACAACACTACCCATGAACTACCCAACATATTCAGCGGAACAATTAATCGAAGCTACTGAATTTCTCAAAACAATTCAGTGCAATACATTGCAAGCTCCAGAAGAAATCCTATTTGGAGCAGAACAGGCAAACATCGACTGGGATGCTACTTTTGGTCAGAGTCCAGTCGACAATCCTTCTCTAGATGAATATGAACTCCATAATCTCATCAATGCTATGGAAGGATAACATCCTGACATGCGCCTCTTACTGATCGACTGTACAACAATCCAGCACACAACAAGATGCGATGTCACATCTACTATTCATCAACAGTGAAAAGTAGCCAGCAAACTATTCATCAACAGTGAACGTAGCCGACATATCACTATTCCAGAAACAGTACAAAGCAAGATTCCTTCTTATCTGCTTAACTGTTTATACTTTTTCTTTCTATAAAATCCGAAGCTGCACCAAGCATTCTGTATCTGAAGTTTTTAAGTTTTCTTCTCTCTCTCTCTTGTAAACATTCTCAGTTCTCAGTTTTTATATTTCTGCATTATCTTTGTAATTGGTATCACTAATAGGAACTTGGATTTACATGGGAATTTTCTCAAAACATGGAAATATCTCACAGTATGAAGAAGAAAACTACAAGCCAGCTAAAAACCATATCACCAGTTAAGGAATGAGAAGTAACCTTTAGATTTTCTGTATATGGATATAGTTACATGATAAGTCGCAAAGCACAATCTAAGATACCTTTTTCACCACCTTGACGAATCACGCAAACATATCGGCATTCCTCACTGTGCTCAAACGATGGGCAACAACAACTGCTGTTCTGTTGACCATAATCCTATACAATGCTTCTTGCACAATCCTCTCTAATTCACCATCAAATACACTTGGTGCTTCCTCTAGAAGTAGAATTCGCGGGTCTTTCATAATTGTTGGCTATGGCAACTCGTTGTCCCTATCAAACAGACAACTGAATTCCGTGCTCACCCATCATAATTAATAGTCCCTAAATTAAAATTTAAAATTCAAAAGCAAATTAAAATTTTCATGTTCATGTAAGAGAGGAATGATGAAAGCATAACAAAATGGAAAAAGAATGAACCTGTGGAAGTTTATCAACGAATTTGGCAGCATTTGCAAGCTCAGCTGCAGCTCTAATCTCCTCAATTATTTCCCCATCCTTCCATACACAATATTATCCTCAATCCTGGATGCGAACAACACAAGTTCTTGGCTGACGAAACCAAGTTTATCCCAAATTCATTTAAGCTGGAACACTTTTAGATTAATTCAATCAATAAGTACTTCACCAGTTTGTGGATCATAAAATCTATAAATAAGACGGATCACTGTTGACTTCACGCTTCCATTATGTCCAACCAAAGCTGAAGTTGTGCCACTAGGGATGTAAGGAGAGAATGAACTGAATATTTGCTCATCTGGTACAGCTGGATAACTAAAATGGACATATCTTCACTCCGCGTCCACACTAATGTCATCCAATATTTTTCGCTTCATGTCATATGCATCTATCTCTGGCTTCCTATATATAGTATCAAACATCTGGAGTGCAACAACTTGATCAGCGCCAAATGCACTCGTGAAGTGAGATGCCTGCCCTGAAGACCTGAAACATCCACATTGCAGCAGAAGGTTGTAAATATCTGATTTGTTTCCAATATGATAAACTCAAGCATAAGGTGAAAGTGTTCTCCTTCATGCAGCACTAAAACACTATAATGAAGCTACACAAAATGTAAAAAAACTAAAACTGTAACTTCATTTTAGCTCTGTTTTTTTCTTCTTTTACATCTCATCCAAATTTTAATTTTTCACATCTTACAATTCCCTCATATCTTTTTTATCCTTCCCATTTCAATCTCTTCGGAGTAACATGAAACATAGACAAATTGAAAAAGATAAATATTCAATCATATAACAGTAGTAAGAAAAACTGAACTGGATTCACATATATGCATCCCAATGTGGCTAATCATAAAAGACTTAAAAAAAATAATAATAAGAGGAAAAAAAATAGTTTCATATGATTTACCTTCGAAAACAAAAATTCAATGAGCTATAGAAGCGCCCAGCCAACCCAATCTCTGCCTTGTGAAAAATGGAAGCGACAGTCTGAAGAAAAATACAAGGTAGATACAACCAAAATAGAAATAAGAAGTAAAACCAATTAGACATTCATTTGAGATATGGGCATTAAAAATCCAATTGGAAGGGAAGTTGTAAAAGAAATGAGAAACCTTACCAACTAATCCAGTAACGTAATCACACCATTAATAATTGCAGATACGGCTCCTGCTATTAGAACCAGAACCTCTGGTTTGTTGAGATAGGCAAGGCGGCAGTGGAACTTCTCGATGCTTTTCTGACAGTTTTTATAGGTGCCACCAGGTTCTGTTAATGCAGTGTCAGGAACACTCACTCCTGCTAGTGCTAGTGGACCAAATGGGACAGAGAGTGAGAGGTGATGTGCTTCCTGATCCAGATGATCCCCAACTTGTGGAACGCAGGAAAGACATTCGTTGACTTGACTGTCAACCAGATTCCGTATTGATTTTTTACTTTGTCTTGCTCAACTGCACCTTGTAGTAGTGAATCTTTTTTCACTTCTAGCAATCGTATGAGCTTAGGGTGATCCTTGAGTAGTTCCAAATGTGAGCCTGTTCGACTAACAAATATGACACTATGGTGAAAAACAGTTAAAAAAGAAGTTAAAATGCTGAAATTTCCAAAATTTTGTAATTTCCTGGAAAATTTCATTAGAACATATATACATTTTTTTTACTAAAATTACTTGTGGGAAAGCAATGTATACTATAGTAGAAAGAAACACACCTTCCATTGTAACTAAAAAGAACCGGGATCTTATAGGGAATTTTCTCAAAACATAGAAATATCACACAGTTTGAATAAGAAAAACTACAAGCCAGTTAAAAATCGTATCACCAGTTATGACATGAGTAGTAACTTTTAGATTTTCTGCATATGTGATTGAGTTACATAATAATTAGCGAAGCACAATCTAAGATATCTTTTTCTACCAATTTTCCTTGATGAATCACGGCAATCATATGGGCATTCCTCACCGTGCTCAAACGATGGGCAACAATAATTGTTGTTCTGTTGATCATAATCCTATTAGTGAGCAGGCATAAATTCATATTTAATTGGGCTGTTGAAGTGTTATTAAAATGATAGAGGTCAAACATTTTAAAACAAAAAAGAAGGTTGCCTGTAGCATATTAATAAATGTACAGTAATATAGCTTGGTCAGACAAACCAAACCAAAACCATCGAGTTCTAAAAAGCCTAAAATGATGAGTAAAATTTATGAGAAAACTGGAATAGCATGACGGTAATTGCCATCTGCACCTTATGTTCTGGAAAGAGACAGAAGTGAGCAGAGCATGTTCCTCCGTGGGAAAATGCCATTAGTAATCAACGATGTTGTACAAAAGCCACTAAGGTGGATTCTACAATAATTATTACTATCTTACAATGTATTCTGCATTCGAGTTTTAATTGTGGATATGCATACTCGTAAAAGGCATTACTATTGCACCAAGCAATCCGCCCTAGATATGCATATTCATGCGGAGGCAAATAAGTTTGAGAGAAAAAGAATCTTAAAAGCTTACCAAGGGGTTAAGAAGCCGAGTTCAAGGTTCAAGACACATTTTGCTAAGCAAGAATTTCACATATCCCTGCAAAATGTTGTGTGGCTGATGAACAAATCTCTGATTATGCCGTGCCTGATCTTGAACCATTTTCTCCACTTGCAAATAGAAAACCACCGCCATTTTGGTCTCTCAGAAGATCTGGATTTCTGCTATTGGGGAAGAAAAACTCGGTAGATTTTGAATTGTGTACCGTTAGCAGGAGGAGCACCTAGGTTTGCTTCGGTGATGGCAATATAAAATTTGGGCCGGCAATAAAGCGGGACCTCTTGGCTAGGGTTTTCGTCTGAGCCTTGTGTTAGATGGTATTCAAATCGGTAACAGGGAAACGAAGAGTTGGATTTGTGGCTTGAGATCACTACAAGAAAATTAGTTTTTAACCACGGTGGAAAACGCTTTGCACCACGGTTTTGAACCGTGGTGGTATCAGCCGTGGTAGTAAATGTATGACTCTCTCTCTCACACACACAAACACGGGCAGAGAGAGAAGAACTAACATTGTTGGTTTTGCAGGTGATATATGTGAAACCAGGATATGAAGCTGCTGAACTTGACTCACTTGTACAAGACTCCCTTCTGCTCAAAGCCTTAGCCGAAGTATATATAAACTAGAATACTAGTCAGATCATCATACATAATACAAGTTAATATGTCATATATATATATATATATATATATCTTAATACATGCAATTAATTAGGTAAATGTGTACTGATGAACTTGTTGATGGATTTTCCATTCAAAGGGCACTTGCTCGGTAATGCAAGATATCTGAACCAAAGTTGCAGTGTAAGGGCTTATCAATAATATTTGCAACACTCCAATATTCCATAGGTGTTCACGGTATGTTGTTGATAAAATATTTTAGCACAAAAAAAAAATAAATAAATAAAAAAAAGAAATAAAAACATGTGATTCATCATGTCAATAATACAATTTTACATCATTTCAAAAGTGGCTATATACTCTACAGAATCCCATAAATGAATAAGATGGTCATGAAAAGGAAATAAGAAGAAGAAGAAGAAAAAAAAAGACTAAGGGTAGTGCATACCATAAGAACACCATCTCTAGTAGCAAGAACAAGAATGTCAGCACAAGAAACCACCCCTGGGCAAACTTTTTCCAGCTCCTCCTTAATCAGACCCCCTTTAACGTTTTGTTTGGAATAGCATCCTTCTCAATGGAGTTATTCTTATTCCCATTGTTGTCATCTAATAGAACTGAAGCATCACAACCCTGAGAACGTAAATAAAAACCACAAAATTAAGAACAATTAAATCATACCAGATGAAAATAAAGAACAAAACTCACAATAATATACATAATCAAGAACAAATCGATACTCAATGCAGAGGAATTCATCAAAACCTAAGAACAATAACAACTCAACGTACAAATAATTAATGGTGCACGAAATTTCAAAGAAATAATAACATACAAACCAAGAAGGAAAAAACTCAATTCCCAGATGAATAATGTCAGAGATAAGAAAGAATATATATATATAACAATTGAAGAAAGGGCAAAAAGCCATCTCAAAGCCCAGATCAAAAATGGTAAAACCCAATTGAAATAAAGCTAAAAAAATAAGAAGATAAACATGAAATTAACATCAAACCTCAATGAAGTAATCGTGGAACAAGAGGCGCAGTAGTTGCGCTGGGGTGTTCCTGTGCTTGAAGAATGGGCATGTTTCTCGGTAGAATTCGTACTCGAGATTGAGGGCACCTCCTTCGATACCAGAAAGAAAATCTATAGAAATCCAAGAATCGATTGAAGAAGATGGTGAAGTAGCGAGTTCTGTTTCACCTTAGGGGTTTCTCAGAGAGACCACGACGGAGACGATAAGTGCCAGAAAGACCCATTTGCTCGCTCATCATCGGAATGTTCGACACGGAAGGTTGAAGAAACTGAAAGAATTTTTAGAGAGAGAACGAAATTAATCGATCCTTGCTTTGAATCAGCAGTAGAACCAGACACAAAAAATTAGGGCTTCGGTTATCAGGGTTTTGACGCCAAAGTTTGCTTCGAATGGGAGAGAAGGGGGTTAGGGCTTGGATAATGGGGCCTTCAAATGAGAGAGCGAGGGCTAGTGCTTGGATAAATGATCTCTGTTACATAAAGATTGCTTCCACGACTCCAGACAGGGTTAGGGCTGGGAGAGAAAGGAGATTCAAACACAATCTTCAAAGTTTCGCTTCTGAGCCACGTATTGATCGAGTATGTATTATCATTTGGGACTTGGGGCTGCAAGAGGGTCAGGGTGAGATATTTGGGCTCAATTCGTTTTGGAGGAAGAAAGAAAGCGGTGTGTTCGCGTGTAAGCTCAGTGAGTGTATGAGAACGAATCATCAATGGAACTACTCGTGGAATGACCGACATGATCACAATTAGGAGTCTCGTCGGTTGTCTGAATGAAAGGAGGGAAAATTTTCGTCTGCGAAGAAATGGTATTCAACAAATCGGCAACTGTATCATTACCTTGGAAGAAAACAAAAGAAAGGGGATTCGCGCCAGGCCTAGTTCTTCTTTTAAAGCCCAACTTGCAATATGAATGGTCCAACTATTCCCTCGCGGATATGACTTGGCCCAGTCCATTAACATGTCAAATGATCCAAAGGTTCTACTCACTATTTTTTTTAGTGTCCAACTAGTTTTTTTTTTTACAGACACCTAAATCTTGGGCCGATCCTAAGCGTCCATTTGGCATGCAAAAATTTGTCAATGAAAATTTGTTTTGGAAAATTAAAAAATTTACTTTAGTTCCTCCGATACAAGGTCAAAAGACTCAAAACACACAATATTACTAATTTAATGATATGAGTTTGGGCCAAAATATCTCATATGTTTTGAACTATTAGAAACCAATATCAATCATCCCAAACATGATATGAATTTAAATTTGAAGACCAATATCAAAAAAATAATATCATAACACATTCCAAACAGATCCTAAAAAATCTTTGTTTCATGTTTGACCATTTCCTAATATGAGCCGAGCATAAATATATATATATTTAATGGGTTTGGACTTTTAGATAATTTGATTTGACTGATGGGTTGGGTCAAAATTGCCATGCTAATGGCCAAATTGACATGAGTTAGTTCCTTTATCAATCCAATTGTGGCTACTACTAATTCACTTCAAAATTTTCTTTGTGAAAATAAATGAAATAATAAAAGAAAGATAAAAACCATTGACAAATAAAAATAATAATAATAAATGATCGTAATTATATTTGAGAAAAAAAAAAGTAATTTAATGAATTTATTAATACTGTTTTTCATAAAATTTATCTTTTATAAAAAAGATCGAGTAGACATTCGCACTCTAATTTGTTGCTTGTCGGTTGGTTAGGCTTGGTATAGCTTTAGTGTGCAAGAGGAATGGTCCTTTGTGTAAATGTACGGTCTTATAAATTAGAGGCCAAATTGATTTCAAAGGTGTTGCGATTGCAAACACATGCACGTGGCCTGTGATGAAAATACACATCCCAAAAATGAATAACATGCATATATATAAAGTAAAGGTCCAAGTCTTGTGTTCATTTTCAGACCTTGATGGTCAATCAAAGCTTGCACCGGCCCCAAAGTCACCTATGTTGTTAATATGTACAACGTACGGTCGCGTACAATATAATAGACAATTAAACTTTTAATTCACTGAAAATATATATGCACCATCATTTGCACAACAAACCCTACTAGGGACTACATGTACTAGAAGACTTTGTTTAGTGTCGATTTTCTTATTCAATCAAATATTTGGTGGCTGCTAGTTTTCTAATAACACTGGTCGGTAAATATACCCCCAATGATCTAACTTTTAAGATCCCGTCGTAACACGCTATATCACCTGTTAACTTATGTATAATAGTTGGGAGAAAATAGAAAATGAGAGAATAATCTAAATCACTTATTGGTTGATATTATGGTTTGCAGTATCGATTACGGTCGGATTTAGATAGTGTTAGTGTAAATTAGTTGATGCGAATCACATATCGAATTTAAAAAAGGGTAGCGTATCGGCTTATACCGCGAACTATTATTGACATGTAAAGAAAAAAGAAAAAAAAAATAATAGTAACCACGTTTGAATTTACCATCATACATTTTTTCATAAATTTTGTCATAAACATAAGGATAAAATTAGTATTAATAAGGGTTTATTAAAAATGCTAGTCTTATAACAAAACAAGTCCATCAAGGTTCATTAATGTATAACTTCAAAGTTCAAATCATTCTATTCCCTTTCTTTTCTTTCTAATTTTTTTACCAAATACAATAAAATAAATAAATAAATAAATATCATATCTCTCCCTTTTTTTTCTTTTCTTTTTTTTTCCCTTTCATTTATTTTCAACCAAGTGGGCCTGAAAGTCATATTTGGGCTAACAAAAGGTCCTTTGCTACTTATATTTGAATTTGGCCATTTATTTTGGGTCAACTTGTCTATGTAAACATAATTTTAAAAGACAAAATTGCTGAGTCCTTCAAAGTGTGATTGAACCATTTTTTTTTTTCAAACTTAAATTGTTAAAGTTGAAAGAATAATTCTACTTTTTAATAACAGGTATCAATGGATCTTTGATTAAAGGGAACACGGATGAATAAGAAAATAACATTTTAAATCACTTGTGTATAATATGCGTGTTGTCAACCAAAAAAACAAAAACTCTTTGAAAAATATCACAAGCATGCGTATAGAATTATAGACTACTTGACCTTAATAGTCAATCAAGCTCTTGCACCGACCCAAAGGATTTATAACGTGTGTAACTAGAGTCATATATGTTGCAATATAGGTAGGAAAAGGCAATGGTACGTATTGTCTATTAATCTCCTAATTTTAATTTGATGATCATGAGGTGGGTAAAAGTCATTAAACATGGTATAACTGAAATCTCCTAATGTGAAAATATGAAATTTTAATATGTATAATATACGGTCGTCTAGAATATAGACAAATTTAAATTTAATTTGAATGAAAATATACATTCACCATCATTACACAACAAACCCTACTAGCTACACGAGATTTTATATTTATTTTTGATTAAATATTTGGTGGCAGCTTGTTTAGTAATAAACAGCGGTCGGTTATTCAACGGTTGAGTTGATGTATAAGGGAATGATAAAATAAAATATCTAATGAAAGTGCTAAGCATATCTATTGACGTAATCATTTCTTAATTTGACATAAGTTGACATCATGCAATGTATATAAAATTAATCAGAGAAAGCCAATAAAATATATATTGCCTTTCTTAAGGGAGATCATATTTGCATTTTATTTTTCTCCAATTGTATTATATTTATTTATTTATTTATTTTTAAGAAAATGACAAAAAGATCTTTAAATTCATTAATATATTATCCTTGAATTTATAATGTCATGATTACCCTTTATACAACTTTAACTTTTTTTTACCTTCTTTATTTTATTTACTATTTTTATCCTTTCAATTTGTTTTTTCCAGAGGTCATCTCAAAGAAAATAATTTATTCCATATTAATAATTTAATTTTTGATAGTCAAAAGAAATAATTTATTCCATAATGACATTTTTTTTATTTTTTTATTTTTTTTACAATTGAAAGGAATATTTATTCAACAAAATTAACTTTTTTTCCAGTCAAAAGAGGTAACTTTTTTTTTTATTTTATTTTATAATTTTTTGTGGTCCTGTCAAAAGAAATGATTTATTAAATAAAAATAACCTTTATTTATTTATTTTTGGTCTTATCAAAAGAGATAATTTATTCAATATAGATTGAAAAAAACAAAAATTAATTCTCTTCGTTTCATACTTTTTTTTTTTTTTTTCTTTTGGGAATCTTAACAAAACAAATAATTTTTTCAATAAATATTTTTTTTCGTTTTTTTTTATTCATGTCAAAAGAGATAATTTTTTAATGGTTACTTTTTATTTATTTTTATCCGATCAAAAGAGTCAATTTATTTAATATAAATTTTTATTTCTTGGTCCCCTAAATTTTTTTTTTATTCAATTAATTTTTTGTCTTGTCAAAAGAGACCTAAAATAATAAAGATTAGAGATAAATAGAGGAAATCTAAAAGGACAATTTTGTCATTTAAAAAGTAATAATTATTTACTTGTAAAGTTAGGGTTAGAATTGTCATTTTATTTAATAATTGTAGTGCAAACGTTGAAAAGTGAAGTGCGGATATCGCCTCCCTTTCTTGATCGTAATTAAGAAAGGCAATATATATATGAAAAATTATAGACATCGATCAAGAAGTGTTTTTTATGATTTTATCACTAATGAGACGTGGCGTAATTAGCCTTTTTTTTTTGGGAATCGGAGAGAGAAATCTTTCTTTTTCTTTGATCGTTCTTAGATTTGCTTTTGAAAGTTGCGACAACAACAGTTCTAGATTTTCGCTTAAACACAATGTGTGGTATGTGTGTGTATATATATATTTATATATTGAAGTTATGTATAATTAATTATGGAGATAATTGAAAGATATGTAAATAATTATTATGTGTTGGCCGGTTTGAAACTGTAACTCCAAAATTTAAGATTATGTTTGTATCGCTGCATAGTTAGGACTTAGAATTATGGATGATTACAAAAAAAAATATAAGATATCTGTAAATAAAATTCGTCATGAATAATTGTTTGATGTATATGTAATAATGTAAAGGAGGATTATTTTGATGAGTTTTAATATTGAGGTTTGTGATAATTAAGATAAAGAAATGTAATATTGAGAGAGAAACAAACTTGAGAAAGAAGAGATAATGACGTGGAGCCTAGCACTACTCCATAGAGAGAGAGAGAGAGAGAGAGAGAGAGAGAGAGAGAGGAAGAGGAGGGCCAATTGACTAAATTGCTTGGAGCATACGGTAAGATACGAGAGGTAGTGAAGAAATGTGTAAGTTGTGACAAAATTCAAATAAAGGTACGATGAAGAATATATTTAAAAGGGTAGGGAGTAGTATGGAGGCTGTCGATTGACCGGATGAACCTGACCTTGAAAGCCGCCCGCATGAGTCACGCGCACTTTCTTAGTTTTCTCAACTTTCATGTGTGTGTATTATTTCTGTCACTGTGTCTGTATGTGAACACCTCGTTACATTACATTTGTCTCGTTAAGGTAAATAATTATTACATTTAATAATTGATCAGATGTATTATTTTTAATTAATTTATCTATACTAAAAATATGGATTGGAATCACCGTGTGATTAATTGATCCCATGCCGAAAGGGTAAAACCGGAAATAAACTATGTTCTTCTAGAATGCACTGGGTCACTTCCCCTCCCTTTGTATGGACATAGACCAGACTATGCTAGCTGGGCGCATCCACATCCCCATAATACATACACTCTCTCTCCCTTTTTCTCTCTAAAATCTAAATATATTACTACATCTATTCCATATAAGTAGTCTACTATTTTATATTTAGACATCTCAAATTAATTATCTATTTTAAAAAATAAATTTTTAATAAATCTTAAATTTGGTAACTATATATATCTAAATCAAAAAGAATAAATTGTTAAAAATGGTACTAAAAATAAAGAGTGAAATCTTTATTTGTTTGTATTTTGCATCAATAATCAATCAAAATCGTTCCCTTGGACTTAGTATCACTGATTAATTGATCCCATGTCAAAAGGGTAAAATTGGTAATAAACTATGTTCTTCTATTGCACTGGTTCACTTCCCGTCCCTTCGTACAGATGGCTATCACCAAACTATGCTAGCTGGGCCATATATCCATATCCCCCATACACTCTCTCTCACCCTTTTTTCTCTCTAAAATCTAAATATGTTACTGTACTATATATATATATATATATATATCACCTTCTAGTAAGTCCATGTGTTACATCTCCCACCCTTAATTTTCTCATCCAATTACACGCATGGAATCTAAATTTTATTATTTTTTAAAAATTGGCATGCAAAAAGGTACTTTGAACCCGTACCACTAAAGTTAAAAGTCCATCTGTTTATTGACCTCACTTAAACATCCCTAATTATCCATTATTAGTCTAGTTTACACTACTGTTAAGAAGGAATAACCAATTCTCAAGCCCTTGTACAGTCTTTAGGAGGTCAAAAGCTTAGGATTCTCTTTTCAGTTTTGTTGACAACATTTTTGTGTTCTCATTATATAACTTAAAAATAAAACAATTTCAAAAGTCATTTGTTTAAGTTAAAAAAAATTTGGGACTTTAATTTCAAAGAACTTTCTTTTGTAATTTATTTTAAGATAACAACACAGATCGAATATGGCATTTCTTTCTTATATTATTTTACCCCCTTATTTTTTTTTTCTTAGTTTATTATTTTACCCCCTTAAAATATATGTTAAGGGGTTGCCAATTAGTTTTAGTTCCTTTGAGTTGCTTGTTATTTTCCAAGTACCATGAATATTCCCTTGGGTTTGGAGAAGTGTTCTGTGACCTTGACCACTTTGATGTGTAGGAACTTTTATATTGGATTTAGGAAGAAGAAAAAAAAGTGTAGGATATTTTTGTGAGTTATGCAGTGCGAAAATTGTAATTAATTTAGTTGTGATTAAATTCCTAAATGATCTAGATGAGGTAATTAGGTCAAACTTGTTCAATTTATGTGATTGATTAATTTACCCAAGAATATGATTAATTAAACATCCACAACCACAAACTGAAAAATAAAGTAAGTAAAGTTAGAGAGATAAACTACACTGAACTTTGACTCAGCCTCACACCCTGATCTTCACTATACCAAAACCCAATCTGCTGAACACCTCTGGCTTGCAACTTCCCGTCCAACAGCTCTCGACTTCAGACTTATGCCTCAAACCTTGTATAAAGATTGCTGGTAAATCAACAACATTTCGTAAGTGCATTGATCCCTTCAAAGTGTGATTTGAAATTCTTCTTCTTCGAATCTGAATTTGTTGTAGAAGAAATAAATCATGTTTCTCGGAATTTTTGAATCTTCAATTATGTTCCAATGTCGATAAGATAGAGAACAACACTTCTAATCACTCTTGTATATATGTGTGTACAACATCTCAAAAGATTCTATCAAAATAATGAATTTTTGTTCCAAAAAGTTGTACTTAATTTTGAGTGAAAGTGAGATTATACATAAGTTTGGAAGACCTAAAAATACTTGAAAACCAAGTTAATTTCATGCATACACAATATAGAGGAAGTCTACCCAAGATAGGAATCACAACAGACCAAGAAGGTAAGTTACCAAAAAGATTTGAAGACCTTGAATTGGTTCAGGGTGGTCGAACCAGTTCAAGTTGGCCAAACTTGAAAAACATCAAAAATCGCAAAAGTTGAACCTGTTCCAAGACACTTGAAGCAGTTCAAGTTGGGCATAATGTAAAGTCTTCCTAAAAACTTAAGTTTAAACCCCCCAAGTGTACTCACACACTCTCTTAGATCTTTAAAGTATTATTCTTATCATCCTAGGGTATATCGAAGTATGAACATTTGAACTTCTTCAAATTTGCTTCCGCTCTTGAATCTTGAAATTCTGAACCAAAATTTTACAACTCGGTCGGACTTGTTTTGACAACGAAATTCACCAATTACAAAATATATATATCACACTTTGATATTATATTAATTATACATATATAATATATACTACGTGTATACACACACACACACACACACACGTGAATGTGTGTGATTGCTCTCTTTTTGGGCAAATAAAATTCAACTTACGTTGTGTGTGTGTGTGTGTATATATATGTGTGTGTGATTGTTCTATTTTGGGTAAATAAATTTCAACTTACTTTGTACAACATATACATATAAATTAATATTTTGAGCGAGTGCGAAGGATTGACCTTGCAGCAAAAACCAAGAAGCCGTAATCCGGACTTTGTTGGATTAATTAATGTTGAGTGAAGATCATCAAATTAATAATTAATTTTTTAAGTAACCACGTGTTAATTCGATCTTATAGAGAGAGTCTAGAGAGAATGTCAAAATGTATGTGGTTGAGTAGGGTCAGCTAAGCGGTGGAATGGATTGAGATTGGAACCATTCATTGAAACTACAAGGTTAAACGTGACATATGTCTTCTAGCTAGCTTTAGGAAAGATAAGGCAGATCAATTATGTCTATATAAGATCATAATTTCTATTGACTTTTGGTAGTAATCACAGTACCATATATGAGAGAGAGAGAGAGAGAGAAGAAGTAGAAATTCTCACTCTTCCTTCAGTGGGGCATATATGAATGGTACCGGTTAGGGTTGAAGTAATGCATGTTCATTTCCACGTGATACTACTGCTTCTAAAAGCTAGCCTTGTCACATTACAGTAGTAGCTTATATACATGCATGTATACACCTCTCAAAAGATCCTTATATGGTCGGTCCGTTTATTTATACCCTCAACTTTCTTGTATTTGCATAACATCCACCCCTCCAGCTTTTAGGCCGGTCTTTCATGCTAAAATAAATATTCTGGCGGTCGATCTCTCTCTTTAGAAAAATAGCTACCTTTGTCCCAGTAATTTTGAATCTTAACTCTCAAAGATTAGGTCAAGGTTTTGAGATTAGTATATTGAGGCATGGACGAGATTATCTCCTCCTCTTCTCCAATCTCCTCATTTCTATTTCTTGGAACCTCACCCACACATCAACAACGCCTCCAATTCATAGTTCGAAGCAGAGCCGAATGGTGGGTGTATGCCATCTTCTGGCAAGCGTTGAAAGATAACAATGGTCGGTTGGCTCTATCATGGGGCGACGGCCATTTTCGAGGCATCAAAGACTACTTCTTGTCCCGATCAGCTGCCAATATGAATGGAAATGGTCAAGCCAAGTTTGGGCTCGATTTGGAGACAAAGACGACGATGGCCAATAGAGACAGCTCCAACTTTGATCACAACGGCCTTGTTGGCCATAGTGATCATCATCATCAGGTCACGGCCGAATCCGAATTGTTTTACATGGTGTCTGTGAGCAGGTCATTTGGTGCTGGAGATGACATTCTTGGCCGCACCTTCAGCAGTGGTGCGAATGTGTGGCTTGCCGGTGATCACGACCTACAGTATCATGACTGCGAGAGAGTTAAAGAAGCTTATGCACAAGGGATTCGAACCTTGGTCTGCATTTCAACTTCTCGTGGGGTCGTTGAATTGGGGTCCTCTGATGTGATCAAACAAGACTGGGGACTGATGCAACTAGTCAAGTCCCTTTTTGATTCTGAAACAAGTCCAATTGAAAATATTACTAGTAGCAGCAACAACAACAACATGTTGCTATTCAATAAACAGCCCACCACCAGCGGCCATATGGACATGCGTCGAGATCAGATTCAGATTGATCCCAACTCAGATGTTCTATCCAATGTTTTTGATATTGGGGTTTCATCAGGAGATCAGAACCATCAGCAAACAACTAATCATCATCATCATCATCATCATCGATTGGGTAGTGATCACACCAAGAAAGAAGTACTGTCCATCATCAATAATAGTACTACTACTACTGGTGGTCCTTTGTCATCCGAATCCGGGCATTCCCATGATTTCCAAGGCCTTTTTGGCTCTGCATCTTCCCCGACAATGGACAAAAATATATATAATATTGGATCAAAAAGAAGAGGAAGAAAGGCATCAAGCATCAGTATGGGAAAAGAAACGGTGCAGATGAACCACGTGGAGGCGGAGAGACAGCGGAGGGAGAAGCTCAACCACCGATTCTACGCGCTCCGAAGTGCGGTTCCCAACGTGTCAAAGATGGACAAAGCCTCTCTACTTGCAGATGCAGTGACATACATCAATGGGCTGAAAGCGAAAATCGCGGACTTGGAGGAAAAACTCCAATCGGGGCAAAAACAGACGTCGGTGAAGAAGGCTACTTTTCATGATCAATATCATACTAATAATCATATGTATGATGCTCAAAGCACGTCAAGCACAAGTGTTGATCACACACCAACTCAACAAAGAGAGAGGGGGTTGGAGGTAGATGTGAAGATATTTGGTTCAGAAGGAATAATTCGGGTGCAATGTCCGGATTTGAATTATCCGTGTGCCAGATTGATGGATGTGCTTAGAGAGATGGAGTTCAGAGTTCATCACGCGAGTGTATCGAACGTGAAGGACATGGTGCTTCAAGATGTTGTGGTTAGTGTTCCTAGTACTGATCATCATCATCATCATCTTGGATTCGCAACTACTAACCATGAGGAAGCCTTGAGAGCTGCCATTCTTGCAAGATTCCAAATTTAATTTATTCCATCATTTTCCGGGCCGGTACTAGTGCAATGTATGTTTTAATTATCTGTAATTTAATTTTCTTTGTTATTGTCTGTCTGTCATGTCTTGATGTTGAGCCTAGCTATGATATCATGTATTTAGACCACTTGTACCAGTTGATCTCTGATTGAATAAAAAGTTGTGATCTAGACAGTTTTTTGGAGCACTCACATGTGTAACTGCAGACACTAGCACCTGATCTATATATCGAAAGACAAACTTTGTTCACTACTACGTACCCGGCCTGTGGCAGATTTGGTGGAATAGCAATCAGTCTTTTCATAATCAAACAACAAGCCTCTAATAATGCTTTTCATCTGGAAAGTTAGTGATTGTTTGGGAGTTCATCTTCAAGACCTGTTGGCAACGCTCTACAATTATATACGTAGCTAGCTAGCCAGTGGCTGGTTATTTGTTCTGCTGTTCCTATCCCTTTGCTTTGATTTTTCTTTTCCTTCTTCTTGTGTTTGGAAGTGATCCTCCTTTTGGTTGTATCTTCATTTAGGAAGGAAAAAAAAAAAAAAAACACTTTATTTATATATTTTTTTACCTCATTGGGTGTTGAGGCATAGGCAATGTTCCAGGTTAACCCAAATTCTTGTGCAGCTGTATTTTCCTGGGCAGCTGGAACTGGAAGTACAAACTTCTAACCTTCATATAAGCTTGAGCTCGTCTAATCCTAGTAACATGAGATACGATTATACGAATGATAAGCACTGGAATTAAACCAAGTCACAGTGATGAACTGATGATTCATTCTCAATCTTCACCTCTGATTTTATTTTGTTTTTGTGATGAGTACAACTACATGCATTCTTTCCCGTAGGGTTGGAAAGAAGAAGGAGAACTAAGACATTACCCAAGGACAAGCCACCCCGAGCCAACAAAAAGGAGGCTCAGAAAGGCCATTGAGAAATAATCCCAAAACAAACATCACGTACACAGCCACCCAATATTGCAACGAAACACAAATTAAACACCTAAAATGCACTAGGCATTTTCCATTGATGCACGAACTAGGAAGGTGCCGAGCATCAGCTATATTCGAAGCTTTCCTGTTGTTTTTTAACTTCAAAGACAGGAGTCTAGACCGAACTGAAAATTTGATCTCGTTCATTACTCTCGATGGAGATCGAGCTGGAGTGACTGTGAAATAATCTGCAATTTCTTTTCTCCCAAATGTAATACACACAAGCAGCTAGGGTCAACTTGTTAACGAGTGATCGATAGTCACCTTTTGTGTTACTACAATGAAATGAAGCACGAGAAATGAAAGAAGGCCAAACATGGCTGGAAAAGCTACAAGGGAAGAGCAGGAGAGATAGAGACTCTGAGTTACAAAGGCAAAGGGTGCAATGGTTAAGGACATGAAGGAACTTAGTTCAAGGGTCGTCCAACTAATGCATGCATTGCATAAATATATTTAATTTTAACTGTATTGTAATATACAAAGTTAGGGTAGAGAGCCCGGCAGTCTATACATTCGATGATACTATTAATATGAGTTGATATAAGTGCAAGATCACACCATCGTCACATCAACATATTATCACATACTTATACAGAAGGTTGAACCACTTATCATTTTTCTTATATATGAAATTTGCTTATGATTTCTTAATTTTTGGCCTGGGGATCAATATGAGTATCTTCTATCTCGATTTCTTTTTCAGGAACCACTACAACTAATTAATAAAAAATTAAAGTAGTTCTAAAATATAAATTAAAGGCGAATTCTATGATCCAACAAGCGTTACAGCTAGCAATTTTTTAGGTTGCTTATTCCGTCAACGGATCAAGAAATTAAAGGCGTGTGAACATAAGACGGGGCGTTTATTAGAAGATTCTGTTGATTGATTTAGAATTGGCTGATTCAATTATTGTTATTATTATTATTTTTTTACACGGCAGATTCGATTGACAAGTTTTAATAATATGCATGGCCCACTTGATGTGTTCAAAGATTGAGTTGAGCTCAAGTTTGGCCAGTTAAATTGACTAAACAAAATTGCACTGTATTCCAGTTAAATTGCAGTTTATTATTATTATTTTTTTCTTCACACAAGTTCTAAACCTCTCATCCACCAAGTGTAGTACTTTGTAGGTGTCCGTCACCAATGGCTGACATGGCGTGTTGAAAAGTTCACAAAATCTCTCTTAACTAAGGTTTCGTGGTAAGTTGAAAAGTCAAAAGATTTCATTAAACTTTGACGGCCTGACCCTTGAGCGTCCCAAACTCTGGTATCGCACAAGGTCACCAAGCCTTGAGGGTTCAATCCATGAGCACCCCTGGCATCACACCAGGTCATTAAGCCCTGAGGGCCCAACCCTCGAGCATCTCAAATCCTGATATCACAGTAGGTCATTAAGCCTTGAAGACTCAACCCTCGAGCATCCCAAAAACCTTGATATCACACCAGGTCATGAAGCCTTGATGACCTAACCCTTGAGCATCCCAAATCCTGGTAGCATACCGAGTTATCAAGCCTTGAGAGCCCAACCCTCGAGCATCCAAAACCCTGGTATCACACCAGGTTATTAAGCCTTGAGGGCCCAACCCTTGAGCGACCCAAACCCTGGTATCGCACCAGGTCACTAAGTCTCGAGAGCCCAGACCTCGAGCATTCCAAACTTTAGCAACAATCTAGTTTGCTAGGACTTGAAGGACCAGTCTTCAAAGCCCCTCTGAGCCTTAAAGCGCGCTGAGGCATTAGAGCCCCAAGGAGCTCGCTTTTAAACTACTACGTCTTTATAAGTTCAAACTGTTGGGAAACATGCTAGTTTTAAAAACTTTTCGAGGGATTTAAATTCATAGATCTTGATTCATCACATAGAGACAAGTTTTATGCAAAAATAAAACATGATGTATCATTCAATTAAAAGATTGAATACTTACATCAAGATTTGAGTAAACCTTAGATCTCTCCTCTAAAGTGAATGTTCTCACTTATTGTAGATCCCTTTTGCTAGACACCTTTTCCATAAATCTCCATCTTCTTGGTAATGGTCTTGCCTTTAGGAATCACTCATAAGCCTCCATGAATGACTTTGGAAAACTAGGCTTGTGGGAGCCTCCATTAGATGAGAACACTAACCCTAATTTTCTAGAGCGAGAAAATTTATTCCTTTTTCCTTCTTCCAAAAATCACCCCTAAAATATACATAGACCATGTATATATACAGGCAACATAAAGATAAAGAAAAGGAAACAATAACTCCTTCTCAATCTCTAATTTACATGTCTCAAATCTAATATGATTCCAATATCAAGTTGGGCTATGAGTGAGAATCCATTGGGCCTATTATTTTATTGGCTACAATGAATTAATAATTGGCTCGGTTCATGGACCCAATTCAATTAATTCATAAATTAATTTCTACTCCACTAAAAGAAATTAATTGAACTCTAATTAAATAATAAATAACCTCTAAGTCAATATTGCACTTTGACCCCTCTATACATAATTAGTTATCGGATAAATAAAGCCATAAATCCGACTACTTAATTAATATATTTATTTTGGTACCATTGATTATTTCTGACTCGATCACAATAAAATATTTGTTTGACAAAAATAATAATTTAATAAATAAATATATAATAAATCATTTTGTCTAAAACCACACGAAGGCCTTCGAATTTACTTTGTGATCAACCATAATTAATACAAAATAAATACAAGTAGCAATGATGCAAATATTAAAAATATAACCCTCTAACTATTAATCACATAACTACCCAAAGTGTCGGTCTAAGGATCCCGAAGAATCCGCCGAACAAATCAAAGTAATTATTAATTAATAAAAGAGTCTATAATTTTCTCATGCTTAAGAGTCAAATGCCATGACGATGATAGGGAGCAATTGCATACGACGGCTCTCGCAATATATCTCAACCTAACGCGGATTCAGTTCAAGTCTTAATTAATTATGAGTCCATCCATAATTACCGACTATGAACAATTTATAATTACTATTCATATATCATGCATTGATTGCCATCACATATATATATATAAATATTTCTTGCAATCACAGGGACACTATCAATTTCATAGTGAATCGAAACATAATACATTGAATTCACCAATTATATAAATCATAAATATTTCAGATATGTCAGGAATATATGTCACTATAATCCAGATAGGAATTCTCTATGCCAGGACATATAAATCCTAACACAAACATGACATGAAACAAAGGTAGGGCCTTCTCAACTATGTGGGACCTTATTATAGGAAACTTGAAAGGATCTTGGATTGGTAGATGAGAAGTAAAGAAGTGCCTCCACTCCCAACGAGGCCTAATCAACGAGATGATGAAAATATATACATTATAACAGCAAACCTTAAAATCACATTTAATGCTCTGATAGACTTGGCCAACCGACGGTCAAGTAAGAACAAAGAGCATTTAATGCTCCAAATAAAGGAGACGCAACATAGTGTATGGCTCGATAAAAGGATTTGACCTCTTAGGCTCCTAAGACTATCATAACTATCCATGTGGTCATAGTTAGGGCGAGACGCACAACAAACCACTAGTTAATATCTAGCATGTTTCATGGTCTATAAATAGCACTACCGCATGAAAGAACAATAGGCCAGAAAAGGACTGTCAGCAGAGATGTATATTTTCCCTACCTCCATCTTAATCTCGTAAGATCAGTCTTCTTTTCCTCCTTCATCAAACACCTTCTTTGTTTCCTTCATATTAATTTGTACTTTAGATATCACATGTATTATCTTATTATATAGTGTTACGAAAACGAACCCCTACATACTTAATAATTTTTTAACCACATTTTGAAAGTGTAAGGTCTAGAGTTCGGTCTCATTAGAAAAATAAAATTGTACGGCTAAATTTAAAATAAAATAACAACTTAAACTTCTCAATCTTACATTTATACTTCTCAAATTAGAACAAAATGATGGCGGTCATAATTTTTGTCCAAAAAATAATTTATTTTCGCATACTATTTTAAAATTTTTTTCTAACATGTTTAATATTTTCTGGGTAATTGGAATATTTTTTTTTGGTCTATTTATTGGTAATTTTATTGAGAAAAAGAAATCGTACCCACCTTTGGACAAGAAAATTAAGTTTAGTTTAATCAGGAAAAAAGTTGAAGTCATTTAGGAGTAAAAAAGTTGGTGACCATGCCATAGTAACCCTTCAGCTGTTATACAGAGTTGCAATACATGCAAATAATTCAGCGACCAAAAAACAAAAAAAAAATAGAGAGAAAAAAACATGATGTTTATAGAATATTGGAAAACCAAGCACACTCTATAATTATTAATTAAATAAAGTGGAGATTTGAGGGTTCCTTTTTCTTCCCCATCAAAGTAACATGACATGAAGCACTCACACCCTAACAATAATAATTGGTAATTGGTAGTAGAAAATTTGCCAGTTTCCAAGTATCTTCATCCATGCTTTGGCAGGATAAGAATTTATGGTCATTATATATATATATTAGTGGAAAATAGAAGCTAGGGTTGGTTTGAGTTGGTCCAAATTTGCTCAAGTTCCCTAGCAAAGGCCTTCTGTCTTCCAACGACAATGGTGATATGGTCTTTGTTATCGAAAACCTTAACCCGGGCACGAGGAACTCTGGACTGTACATTGTAGCTACATTCAACTGGGATAACATCATCGTCTCTACCATGGAATATATTGACTTCACATTTTAGGCTGTTTTTAATTGTCTCCAAGTATGCATCCATTTTTGCCGCACTCCCGCAAATTATGTTGTGTAGGGTATGCCATGCCGCGTTATGCGTGTGGCAACAGAATCCTTCAATCAAGTATGTCCTCATCCTGTAAATGTAAATACATAGTACAAGAAACAACATTACATATATAGTAGATATATATCTCATATATATATATATATATATATATAGGTCGGTAGGTACGTAGCTGTAACTCTCTTTAAAACTTCTTTTACAAATTAAAAGTGAGTGTATGCATCCTTTCAAGGGAAAGTCTCAACAATGGTGGACCTAGTATATGTAAGTCCTATGACCGATCAGCACCAAAGATTGATGAGTAGTTGAATTGACTGAATTGCCCTCGTGTTAAGTGAGAACATGCCTTATTTATTTCCTTAATTAATGAGGAAAGCAGTGGAGTGGAGAAGAGAATCTATATACAATTGAGTCTAATTCCAAAGTTTGGTGCACTACTTTACCATACGCTGACTGTCCTATTCGAGAGTTTCAAACACAAGCTTCACGGCGTGGACATTAGGTGATAATGATATCAACGCATTTTCACACTTGAATTTTTGTACACTAGCACTTGATTTTTTTTTTGAATATTCTAGGCAGGAATACTTTTTTCAGATAATTTAGTCGTGAAAACTACTTTTGTAAAATACTTGCGTTATATTTTCTTCTTTAAAAATAAGTCAAATACACACAAAAAGTGAGAATATATTTGCCCATTAGGTGAATTTTGTTGGGACTTGGACATTATTATTCTTCGTAAACAAATAAAAAAATTGGCTGATCTTCGGCTTTAGGGTCTGTACATAATACACACACACACATATATATAATCTCAGGGCCCTAATTATATTACAGGGTCCAGCCCAGCATACAAATGTAAATTGGCATGGACCCTGATGACTAAATCAAAAAACCATCAGAGTTGGGCCATGTCTGTGTCAAAAACTAAATGTCTTTTGATGTGGATTGTGGACTCTGGTAGGGTATATTAATCCAACACCTGTACTTTTTGGACAACTATTTACACACACACACACACCATATCATATTTGTATAAGGGGAGGTGATTTTGGCAGTCTACTCCACTTTGACTTCGGCAATCCATCTTCTAATTTTAATAATTGAAATGAAAAGTTTATCCTTCATCTCAATTTAATTGAGATGAAGGATAAAAAGATAGTAAAAAAGAAGGATAAAATCATAATTTCAGTTGCTCAATTTAAAAGTTGGAGTGGTAAAAAGTGCCATATCAGTTCCTTATATATTATAAATTGTAATATAAATTACATTGAGTTATCCTAAAGTTTGAACAAATTACTCATGAATACGTTTGACCATAATGGTTGGAAATTTGGGAATAACATAAACGGAGAATTAACCCTCCTCTCTCTCTATATTACCTTATATTAACCTATATAAATAAATTGTAATAACATACATTAACCTATGTGTGTGTGTGTATATATATTACTCATATATATATAATATCATGGCCCTAATTATATTACAGGGTCCAGCACAGCATACAAATGTAAATTGGCATGGACCCTGATGACTGAATCAACAAACCATCAGAGTTGGGCCATGCATGTGTCAAAAAGTGGATTGTGGACCCTTGTAGGGTCCGTTAATCCAACACCTGTACTTTTTGTACAACTATTTTATATAGATATATATATATACACACACTATATCATATATGTATAAGGGAGGTGATTTTGGCAGTCTACTCCACTTTGACTTCGGCAATCCACCTTCTAATTTTAATAATTGAAATGAAAAGTTTATCCTTCATCTCCTTATGAAGATTATAGGATTTATTCGAAAAGATGGTAAAAAAGAAGGATAAAATCGTAATTTCAGTTGCTCAATTTAAAAGGTGGAGTGGTAAAAAGTGTCATATCAGTTCCCTATATATTATAAATTGTAATACACTGACTTATCCGGAGGTCTAAACAAATTATAGATGAATAGAACGTTTGGCCATAATAATTAGCAGTTTGAGAATAACATAAACCGAGAATTAACCCCTCTCTGTATATATTACCTTATATTAACCTCTCTCTCTCTCTCTCTATATATATATATAAGGAGTAGTGATCTCTTGCTCTCCATAGAGCAAAAAAAAATTCATCCGCACTTTCTATTGAGACCATTAGATCTAATTTAACGGTCTCTATAAAAACCCACATATATTCTTTTCTTTTAATACAAAATCATTATGACTATTTATAGTTTTCAAATTTAATATTTATCAAATTACTAATTACAACAATAAAAGGTAATTATTCAAAAAATATATATAAAAATCTCTTCACCTCTGAAAATAATGTCTCTTTCAAACAAAGACCTACAAGAGTATTTTGTCTTTCTTCATGCAAATTGAATTTGCAAGTTCTCTTTCTCCTTTGTCTCCTTTTAATCACAAGTTCTAATTCTTACAAAAGTACCACAAACCATTCACTAAGTTTGTTTAGCAATTTCATGAAAAATTATAGTCACAATCATGCACATTAGGAAAATTAAACTAATGACATAAAACACTGACTCAAAAATATATATATATAAATAAAAATAAAATTTATTTTTTTCTGCATGACATTTCACCCGCATAAAATTTAATGGATTAATTTTAATTTTAATTTTATTTATTTATTTATTTATTTTGTCTCTTGTAATTTTTTGTTTGAGAGAAACATGATTTCCAGAGGTGAAGAGGTTTCAATTTTTTTGAGGTAATTACTTTTTATTGTTGTAATTAGTGGTATTGGTAAATATTAAATTTAGAAACTAGAAATAGTAACAATGGTATTGTATTTTAAGGAAATGATGTAAGTAGGTTTCTATAATGACCGTTAGATTAAATCTAATGGTCACTATAGAAAGTGCAGATGAATTTTCTTACTACATGAGGAGCAAGAGATCATTACTTTATATATAGGTTAATATATGTTATTACAATTTATATATATGTTATTACAATTTATATATATATATATGTAGGTTAATATAATAATATATGTTATTACAATTTATATATATATATATATATCTAACCTTATATTATAGTAGATAGATCTAGGAAGATCCAGCAAATGGTCTAACGTTTGGTGAGTTGAAGGTGTACCAAGTGTAGACGTTTTTGATGCACATATATAATGGTTGGGAATTAATAAAGTTGTAAACTAGAAAAAAAAAAAATAATAATAAAAAAGTTGTATGTAAAATATGAGTATACCTGTTTCTGGTGATAATATTGGTGAGAAATGTCCACAAGCGATGGTTCTTGCATATTAAGAGGCAAATAGTACGACTGAGGTGCTCATACCAGCAAGCAATGGACGCCCCAAAAGTAATCACTGGCCACACCCGCCTTGGGGCTACTCTTTTCATCACATGCTGTGTGGCTTCTTCACCCTTTGGAACTGGAAAGTATGGCTGCACCAATCCCAATTTATTTAATTTTCATCAAATTAATTAATATTAATTTGCTTTGAATTACTAGGCCAAAAAAAAAAAAAAAGGAGTATCCCAGTGCACGAGAGAATTAACTGGTGCCAGCAGAGTGAGCGACTTGACAGAGTGGGGATATTTGACAGCGAGTGCGAGAGCCAAAATGCAGCCCAAAGAATGTGCGACAATGTGAAAGGATTTAACTTTGTGTGGTCTAAGGACAGAGCTTTCAATCATTTCTAAATGCTCTCTCAATGTGTAAAGGGAGTCATTTGGCTTGGGACTCCTCCCAAACCCCAGCAGATCCATCGCAAATAGTCTGTACATGGATTTCACAGAGCTGGAAAAGTTGGGAAATAGTGTTTCCGTCCAAAATTCAGAAGACGAAATGAACCCATGAATGAAGATCACATCTTCTACCACATTATTAAAATCTGCCATCAAACAACCATATATTCATATATATAATGTCCATATATCTAGGTAATAAAGTTAAAAACAGCTTAATTAATGAATACATATAGTACCTTTTGGTCCTTGAGCTAGGACAAAAAGTGCTTGTTTGCAAGAAGAGGCCCAAGAGTGGCAAGTTTTGCAATCACAATCGGACCATCTTGGAATGGGATTCAGCAATTGGTGGCGACCAATCTTGGGCCGTAACATGGAGTTAATTGTGACCCTGCCTTTCTTCACCTTGTCACAATTATTAAAATTTGATTGGATAATGGTGGTGGAAGAGGCGGGTGGTTTGTTGTTGATGATTAGCTTGAGGCGTTGAAGGGTGGTAGGACGAGTGTAGAGGGTGTCGGAGATCTCTTCAAGCTGCAACCTGCAGGCGGAGGAAGTGAGGCGAACAATCTTGGAAGCAGCATTAATGCTGCCACCGCTGCCACTGCTCATGGTTTGTTGAGCTGAAGTAGAGCAGTAACAAGGCTTCCACTCCGCTTCAACCAAGAAATCCACCACTTTGTAAACATAGCAAAGAAGGAAATCAATCACGTCCAGAACACAGAAAACAATGATGCTCAACACTTGGTTCATAACTCTGCCTGTCAATGCTAAAACTGATGATGATGATCTGCAGCTTTTGTGATCCACACCCGCCATTTAATTTACTTTCACACACACTATAATTAAAACACAGGATGGGGAAGGGAAAGACATGCATATAACTAGCTAGGAATGTCACTATTCCATCAGAGTTAATGACATAAATATATATTTGTGGGATATCTCTATCTTTTATTCACTAACCTCTTTATTAGGTTTTCTGCAAATGGGGCCTCGCAAATTAAACCAATTAACCATGAAACCAAGGAATCCACAATCCATCCTACAATTTGACCCCCTGTTATATTTGAGGAAAGCGTGCAAGAGTTGGTCTCTTATAACATACATAATCTTTTCAGTGTGTGTTAGCTAGTGTGAGGTGCTGCACACGTAAGAGCTAAGAAGTATTAAATAAATTCATTGGCCCATTAAAATCGTTGTTGGCCAAGGAAAATGGTTGGTAGTGGTTGAACCTCCCGGTGAAGAAGGAATTTTTCTTTTTTTTTCGAAAATCCGGTGAAGAAGGAATTCTTTTCAAGAATTGTGAGCCATTACAAGCTTTTTTCTTTTTTTATTTTTATTTTTATTTCCACCACAATTATTTTATGTATTCTTTTTCCTCTCAAATACAAAACAGCGTTCTTTCTTGTCCTTCCAAAACACTTTACCTACAATTCTTCCCAATTGACTATTAAAAGTACCCTTAACAATTAATGTGTGCAAAGGTTTTTCCAAATCTAATTTAATAGATTCCAACCTTTTGTATTTATTGTTTGTTCACCACCGTCCCCTTAGGTGCTGACTACTAACTGCTACCCCTTCACCACCGTCCTAAACAATTTTTACAAAGTTTGTTATTGATTTATCTACCAATATTTGTTCATTTCATCCCTCTATCCATAAAATCAATTGGATTCAATCCGGTCCATGCAAATTGGATACATTTTTTAACCTCCTGATTCGATTATAATTTGATAAATAAAAAATTAATCTGTTAACATATTGGAAACAATCGATTTCATTCGTTAACTCATATAATAGGATCCCATCAAATTTATGAATATGATATATATATAATTTTAAATTTTAATAACTTTTAACCCCAAAAACCTAATAGCTTTTTGAGTTTTACCGACCGTGTCATGGCTATTTGAAAAAAAGTTCAATCCATAAAATCAATCCGATCTGATCTAGGAAAAAGATTTGATTCAATAACAAATCTATCCGTATGGATAGAATTTGAATTTGAAATACAATCTGTAACTATCACAATTTTATTAAAAAAGAAAAAACACCTCTCTGAACTAGTATTATTATTATTTTGATAATTAGGATGTCTGAAACTTTGTCCCGACTAATTTACGAACCCGTGCAAGGCATACCTCCTCACAGATCCGATAAAGTTCAGATTAATTATGTCCACAGATGTGACCCTTAAGGAATTCCATGTAAGACTTCCCAACAAATCGGATAAAGCTCGAATTATATCCATAGGTATGATCTTTACGAAATTGTTTGCACTTAGAAGTAACTAATCCTAAGAACTTATGTCTTATGAGCACTAGTGTTCAATTATTTTTCAATTAGTCCAGTCCTCAAGAGTTAAAATTCAGACCATGTCCAACTCTCTATAATTTATAATTTTTTTATATTTTAAATGTAAGGTTCAATATTTGCCCCAATTGATAATTGATTTGACAAAAAGAAAGAAAACAATTGGCATTCAGATTATGATACTCGTTTAGCAAAGATTATTTCTACGATACCTTTAATATATATATATATATATATTTCTATGATTTGTTTTTTATTTATTGGTCTTATAATAGTCAGGCTCTTTTTTCTACATTGTTTACTTAAGATGAGATATTTGTTTGGCTAAAATATAGAATACACGTTCTAGAACATTTACAAATAGTCTTTTAAAACCTTTCACATGATGAATACAATTGTTATCCATGTTAACGTGTTTGGATGGTATGATAGAGCATAAAGCATGGATTATTAATTATCGATCCTTCTTCAACTGTGAAATGGACGGCCAATTTGGGCTACTAATGATAGTTATATTAAGCCGGAAAGCAAAAAAATTAATGTGGCAGCTTAGTACTGAATTTAAAACCACATACTATGTGTTGTTATGCATGTTGATCATAAGGCTCTCACTCTCAACCAAAATTTCCAATTTATTTACCAATTTATTTCAGAGTATAAGATTTGACAATGTAAGAGAAGAGAAAAGAAAGCAATGTACGTCCAAAACTCGAACATTTAAGCGCCTCTTATTGTAGGTGGCCAAAGTCTTCATCAACTTAATATTCATTTATTATTATGAACATTTCTGTACTTCCATTTATATCAGCTTAGCTAATTTCTCTTGTCCAGTCAGGACTGAGGACTGGGACCCAAGAAATTGAGGGCCTAACTTAAAACTGGATGGCCTTAATATATATATATATTCCAAAGGTTAAGGAAAATGAAATGATTTTTCTGCTTCCCTTCCAAATTATTTCATTCGTCCCCAAATAAATATTTGCTCTTTAGAATCTAATTTTTTTAGAGATGTCTTTTAGTATTTTTTTGTAATTTTTTTTGTAATTTTTTTTGGTTTTTTTAAGTAATACTATTATAAGAGTTCTCTTATAACAAGAGATATGAGCTCTCCTAATTTAATTACTGAATTGTGATAATTTTTTTAATATTTGTAAAAAATCAAACTTGTCACCATAATGGGTCCGCAGGGATGTAATAATTTATTTTTTTATAAGTTCAATACAAGAAAGTTATATATATATATATATATATATATATATATATATATATATATTCCATCCGTTTCAAAATAAATATCTCATTTTGGGAATCTAACTTAAGAGGATGAGCTTTTAGTATTTTTAATGAATGTAATACCCTTACCTCCCCACAGGTTTGTCCATATATCCCCAATATGAAACTTTTGCCAAACTTGTCTCTAACCTTCCCTTGTAAGGCTTAACCTACTTAATTGTAAGAGTAAAAGTAATATTTTACCCATGAATGAATCAATCTTTATCTTCTTCTCCTCTCCTCATCTTATACACTAACTATGACATTTGCTTTTGCAATATATCATTCTCCTCCATTAACAGCTTATTCATTGCCGTCAACTTCTTATCTTGGAAGTGTGATGCCTCTTTCCGTTACTTCTCTTTGCACTTGGTTAAACGAAAAGCACATCTCATATAATTAGGAAGCATTTCAATACACATATTTCTAATACAACATTGAAGGATGCCCAAAAGGCAAGAACTTTATCTAACCCTAATTTGAATTCACCACAATACCTTCGATTCTAAAACCAAACTTTAATCTACGATATTGGAGAGAATTGGGCATTCACGAATCAACTATTGCCGGCACAAGGAACTTGGCTTTCGGTGTTCATGATACAGCCTTTCAAAGGCTTCAATATGCTCCGGGTTGTACTGGGTTTCAATGCTCCAAGGTGTACCGGGCTTCAACTATTGTTGTTATCTTTTTCAATAATTAAGTAAATGAGCTCATACTAACAAAACTAGAGTCTGCAATTCCTACAATCAAAACAAGCAATCCTCTTCCATTAGAGAGAGAAAGAGACCCAAAGGTTTTTGTTCCTGGAAGAACCAGGTTACCGAATTGGCGACCTTGGTTATGCCTCCTCAACAGTGACTGTAAGCACCCGAATCCCATGACCTGGTGTGTCAGCGGTGAACCCGAAGACCTGACCCAATAACGAGTCCGAAATGCAGAAGCGAAAACAAGGAAGAGGTCACTAGAGGCAACTCTACCCCTATGACGACTAGAGAACTTCATATGAAGTCTCAAGACTCTACTTGAAAACAAATGCGGAAGTGAAAGGGTAAAATAGTCATTTACAGAGGCTACAAGGGCAAAAGAGTCATCTACCTAACTATAGGGGTGAAATGGTCATTATTTATGACCACAAGGGCAAAATAGTCATTATTTAGGACTACAGAGGCAAAAGTGAAAATGCCAGACCATTTAACCGATCGGATCATCCATTTGATCGATTAGATGGCTGGTCCAGAAGAAGGAACCAACCCAGAAAACCATATAACCGATCAGATGGTCATCTGATCGAGTAGATGGGCCACCTAACCGATCAGATGCACAACCCAGAAAAAATAGAACTTTGCCGGAGCCCATCTAACCAATCAGATGGTCTTCAAGAATGAAAAATCCCATAAATGCAACCTCCTACCTCACCCCAAAATGCAGTAGATGAAATGCAAGCTGATAAACGCCGAATGTTGCACGTTAAAACCTTCTTATTTACATACGTTAGCTATTAGTTTATGTATTGTGCACTTTTATGTTGTTTGTGTATTTTTCCTATTTTTAGGTTTTTATCCTCAAAAGTAATCAAAACCGGGATCTCTGGTCTTTGAAATGATAATTCTACTTGAGCTAAGATTCAATAAAGATCTCAAGAGTATTGACCAAGACCATGGACAATTCTAGGATGGATTGAAGATGAAAGGTGTGGGCCCAAGCAGAAACATAACCCCAAAAAGGAGCATTGATAACTCAAGGCTTACGACCGGTCGTAGCCCCAAGGCATGATTTCTACGACTGGTCGTACGTGTAAAATACAATTGAAATCTTAAGTGCAATTTGATTCCAGAGAATTTTAAAAACTACGACTGGATGTAGCATACCAACCCCAAGCGCCGTGACAGCTCCTTACGCACGTGCAAAAAAAGCAACTACCTTCACATTGACAAGCTACGACCGATCATAGCTTTCTACGTCCAGTTTACTTTTGTAGTTGGAAAGTAGCCAACTTTCCCCTTTTTTGGTGGATCTGATGGCAGCTTTATAGAATAATGAATTTTGACCTCTTAGAAGACGACACAAGTGATATAAGGGGTTTGCTTTGCATAGAAGACCTTATCTTGAGATATAGAGAGAGAAAGGGAGAGTTCTTGAAGCTTGAAGCTCATCCATGGTGTCTAACTTGGAGATGATGTCTTCTTCTACCAAGGAGGTCTCCACCTTGACCATGAACAACTAAACCTCTTCCTAGGGAGTTTATGTAGCCATCTCCAAGTAAATATATTTTAATTTGTTTGTATTATGGGAAAAAATGATGTTAAAGCATAGCTATGTTGGGCATGTTTGGCATTGTGTTTGTTATTGTTTTTAGTGTTTTGGTTTTGTATTTTGGGCCCATATCACATTTAAGGTGGGCTGGTGTGTTATTGAACAGTACCAAACCTGATATGAAAATTTCGGCAAAACCAATATCACCAAAATTGTGATATTGGGTGTTTTCGACATTGTATCGGCCATATCAAAGGCCCAAACCAAAAACAAGTTATACTATAGCGGGCATATCAACTATAAAACCTATTTTTGGAAACCCTAGCCTCATTTCTGCCTCCCATTTCTCTCTCTTCCTCTTTGCACATTTGAGGCAATTGAGAGGTGATTCCATTGTAACCCTGTTTTGTGCTGTCGATTGTCTTCCAGATTGACAAATCATTGATCCTAGAACATTTTTCTTTGCAATCTCCGTTGTATTTGCTTTT